GCTGTGTGTCCCACGTTTTTCAAACACTCTGTCTGAATACATTGCTCTTCTTAATGGGTTCAGTTGACTATTTAATCTGCAATATCCTATGACCTGTATCCCAAACACACACCATGTGAAACTGTACATGGGCAACTGTGCACTCAATGGGTATGGTCTAGTTTAAGAACTTTAACTTTGCAGAGCTGGTGGGAAAAGCTAATGAATCTCTTCACGCACAATTCAACTCTGTTTTCTTCCAAAACTTTCCTTGTTTGGATTTGGAATCCAGAGCTAGCTGAGCTAGGGAGACTTGAGACTACTGCAGCCATTGCTACTGAGATTTGGCAAAATGTAGAGCTGAAGATGACTGATGCATATTTTAGCTGCAGAAATGTAAAAGTTGGTGTATAGGCTACACATTTTTACAACTAGAGAATGTCGGAATCACTTCAGACCTACAGGACTGATTAATGAAAATTAATACATTGAAAACATAACCATTATTAATTTGCATATGATTTTCTTTTTTTGGTAAAAGCTGAAGGGAGCCACCAGAGAGGGGCTAAAGAGATGCATGTGGCTCCAGGGCCACAGGTTGCCAGCTTGAAAAGGTGTTTTCAGACGGATTTGAAAATGGAAAAGGAGTCAATTTTGTGAATGTCGTGGGGGAGAGAATGCCAGAGACGGAAACAGAAGGTCTGAAGGATCTAGAACCCATGGGTGTCAAGCAGGCAGATGGTTAAGTGAGTTGGATTGCAGAAGAGCACGAGAGGGTGTGTAGATATGAAGGAGTTCAGGCAGGTAGGAGGGGGCGTTGCTATGAAGGGCCTTAAAGGCGAGAAGCAGAATCTTGAAGTCGATGTGATAATTAACAGGAAGCCAGTGAAGTTGCTGGAGAACAGGAGTGATGTGATCTATGGAGGAGGGTCTGGTAATGATACAGGCAGCTGAATTCTATACTGTTAACAGCCACAAAAAGAGGTGGAGCAGCAGGTGCTCAGTCTGTAGGGAACTTGGATTGGGAACCAGAGGGTCACCAGTTCAAGTCCCTGTATGGACCAAAACACAGAGTGTGGACTGTGTGTGGACTGATAGCTGGAGAGGTGCCAGTTCATCTCCAGCTACTCAAAGTGTGTGTCCATGGGGCAGCCCCCTCGCTCTGACATCTCCTCGTTAATGCATGTGCAGTTAGTAAGCATTTATATGTCAGGTGTCTGTGTGTGTGTGTGTGTGTGTGTGTGTGTGTAATCTGTTAAATAGCAGAGTGGAAAAAATGATAAAACTCCACTACACCACCTTCCCCTTGTCTACTGTTCCTTTAACCCCTTGAAACCCGGGGCGACGTCACTTTTCTTGTGCTGCTTTCAGACGCCTTCTGCAAATATTTAAACCTTTGAACCCTGAGCAAATTGGTGCGATTTTTTTTTTCAAAAGCACTGGAAAAAAGGCAGTGAGCAAACTGGCAAGACATGTTCCACGAATTGCAAAAAAAAATATAGATTTAGAAAATTATTTTTAAAAGAAGAAAGCTAGGGAAAACTGTATTTATGATTAATATTATTATTACATTTTAAAATCATGTTACAGAATTATTATAAATTTTAAGCACTCTTGTTTGTTTTTAACTGTCTTTTTTTTTAAACTAATTTTGTTCTTGATAATTTCTTGGGTCACGTTACTTTCGTTGCTCCTTGCCATCTTCACATGTTTTTAAAAGAAGTCAAGTCAGTTTGCTCAGGTTTCAAAGGGTAAATGAGACACAGCAGCTTTATTTAAGTTAATAAGTGAGTTCACAGGTGTCTTGTCATGTTACAGTTTGTCTACTCTTGATAACATCCTGTGGGAATCTTTATTGTTTCTGTGAAAATCAATAGAAAGTGCCATGATGAAATAATTATTTGACTTCTGTGAACTTGCTAGTCATTAGACTGCTGTTATTTCCAAACTGCTGCTTCAGGCAGGGTGTCTACAGATAAAGCTTTAAGACTTTTTAACACCACGTTATATTAAATTCAAAACCAAACCTGCAATGGAAATACACAATAAATATATGTGTGTGTGAGACACACATGTGTAAGTACTCTTTCCAAGTTAACACACTGATGTCAGTTCAAAATGAAGAGTAAGGGAAAATGACAACAACTGGATGAGTTTGAGTTTAATGTCTTCAATGTAAAGAAAACTAAATCTCATCGCTGTCCAGCAGTAAGTTACTGTAGGTGTGACCTTGGGTAAATTCTTTCCTCCTTATTTTCTTTACAGGATGTGACGTATGATTTCTTGTCCACCTGTAGCTGTCTTATAGCTCAGGGTTTAGCTTGATGTCCGTGTAACCACAGGTTCAAACATCCTTGTTTGCTTGTACATGTAGGATCAGCTGCTCTGGTGAATGTGAAGTAAATGAACCCTTCAGCCTCACTATGTCACCAGCTGCAGTCTGACAGCACTGTGCAAACTATGCTTTCAATCGACCTGAATATGATCTCAAACTGTAAACTTGATATTCAGTGGATATAACAGAAAGCACTCACACTGCCCACAGGACTCTGTTTTGTAAAAAAAAAACAGGAAATAAATGTCATTAAACATAAAACACTTGCTGTCATGTAGTAAGTCAACAGCATAGATCCGCTGACAGACTTCCCTGTGTGAAATACAGTGATGTCCGTTTTCATTCAGGAAGCTGATGATGAGTTTATGAGATCATTTATCATCTGCGCACAAACTCCCACTCTAAACCTTTAATATTCCGTCACTTCAGCGACACTCAGACACAAACTGAGCGCTGTGGAATAAAATAAAAGTTACAGAGAGTCAGAGAAACCAAAGACAAACTCACCTGGATTTGTGCCCGAACCGGAAAAGCGTCCCACCACACCTTCAATCTGTGGAAACTGATCCACCTGAGGAGTCATCTGACCACGCCCACTCTGCGCAGGCAGGTGCCGCCTTCAGGGACGACTGGGGCATTTTCCAAATATCTATTTATATCATATATAAATGTCTATGAACTTTTTGTTTCCGACTTCTTAACTGTTCCAGTCTTCTGTAGACTGTATCGGTTATTAGTGATGGTATGAGAGGTGACAGTTTATAGACAGTTTTAAAGTGTGAATACAGCTTTATCGGCGTGTTTCCACCCTGTCAAGACTAAAATTGTCTGTCACTTTCTGAAAAAACGGTCCCGAATTCCAACTTTCTCTGTCCCTAAACATCACATCTCGTTTTTTTGATTTGCCTCAGCAAAAGCCATAAATACTCACATTTGACATTTACATAACATAAACAAAATATTAAAATGTTTCAGCAAATTCTTTCAGAAAACAAAGAAATGGAAATGTCTATTTTAAAAGTCCAGCCTAGGATTTAGGGGTGTATAATCACCTGAAAATAAGAATTGTTGCATTTTCGTTACCTTAGAATGAGAAGTTTATATCTACACAGGGAGCAGGTCCTTGTCTACGGAGATCGCCATGTTGCACCGCCATGTTTGTACAGTAGCCCTGAACAGACAAACCAAACACTGGCTCTGGAGAGGGCCACAAACATTTTCATGTTGGCCACCACAGTTAGCAGCCCATCTCCAATGAGAAAGTTGTTTGAAAGTTTTTTTTTTTTGTTTTTTTTTTACATAAAAACTGCTTGATTTGAAGTTTTAATAACCCAGTCTGTTGGTTTTGAAGAGGAAGAGACCTCTGTGGATAATTCAGCTCCCAGTAAAAACCTCCTGAACAATGAACACTGAAGGAATTCTAACCAGGAGAAGTTTCAGCTGGTTGCAATCTGCAATCCTCACCGCTAGCTGCCACTAAATCCCTCTAAACCTTACACACTGGACCTTTGAAATATTCCTATCAAACCATGCACAAAACAAATAAATTGTGACAGCTTTTCCTCCCCTAGCATGTCCAAGTTGTACAATTGTTGCCGCCACTGTGGCAAAAACAACTGGATCACTTTCAGTTTTCCTCTGAGCTGAGCAACGACCAACAACACAGGAAACATTACATTTTGTTTCCTACAGTTACTGTGGTTGTCCCACTGTCCACCATTTCTGCTACTGAGATAGTAACTGCAAAGAACATACTGTGATACTCAGGTAACTGATGGCTACTGGGGAAACAAAAGTGCTATCCTCTCCTTGTGTAGGTTGCGCAATGGTTGACACACTTCTTTCATGCCATACACCAAGCCTTAATTTTGCCAGGGATCATACCCAGTGGCAGACAGAGCTGCATAGTTAAAATGAGGCCTAGAGTAAACCTGAACACTGGTGGTGTAGTCATATTGTGCCATTAACATTTACTTCATAATAAGTAACAGCAAAAAAAACATGTCTAGGGGACGTCGGTAGCATAGTGGATAGTGCCGACACCTCACTTACTGAGGCGATGCCTTGCTGCAGCAGTCGCAGGCTCGACTCCGGCTCACAACCCTTTGCTGCATGTCAACCCCCACTCTCTCTCTCTTACCCCATTTCACTCTGTCCTGTTCATTAATGGCAAAAAGCCCAAAAAATAATTTTAAAAAACAAAAAAAGTGTCTATTTCCACTTAACTTTTCACAGATGTCAGATTTTACTTTGTATTTGTATTTTCTCCCCAGAATTAAATAAAAAGAATCAAAAATCATGAACAGACATTAAATATAAGACAACCATAAGTGAAGGCGGCACGGTGTTGCAGTGGTTAGCATTGTCGCCTCACAGCAAGAGGGTTCCTGATTCGACCCCAGGGTGAGGGAGCCCTTCTGTGTGGAGTTTGCATGTTCTCCCCTGTCAGTGTGGGTTTTCTCCAGGTGCTCCAGCTTCCTCCCACAGTCCAAAGACATGCAGGTTAATTGGTGACTCTAAATTGGCCATAGGTGTGAATGTGAGTGTGAATGGTTGTCTGTCTCTATGTGTCAGCCCTGTGATAGTCTGGTGACCTGTCCAAAGTCAGCTGGGATAGGCTCCAGCCTCCCTGTGACCCCCAACAGGATAAGCAGTTACAGAAAATGAATGACTGAGTAAACAATCGTAAGTTTCAACATTTTTTTATTACTAAAAAAGGCACCAAATACAGGCATCATGTTGATAGCATCGTAGTTATTTTCCACAAAATGATAGCACCAAAAATATATTGTTATTTCCCATAATTTCCTGTTCCCGTGTTGTTTCGATAGGCACACAGTTGAAAGAAGACAGGAGGCGGAATCAGGGAGAGACGAATGGAGAGAAAGACAACATGTCGACATCTCACATGAGAAGACATGAGTTTTTTTCTTTTTGCAGTGCTCTCCAACCAGTGTCATACACTTACAAACATTTCCTTTAACATCATGGGTACATCAGTAGCTGAGCGTAACAAAAAGATAATACATGATAATACATAGATGAGAGAAGAAAAAACATTTAAAAAATAAAGGAGGGATTTTGTGTCTTTGGGCGGAACGAAGGCAGGTAGACACACATCTCTTATAAAATACATCATTTTTAAAAAGTGATTATTTCCATTAGGACAGTAGTAAGGCTAAAGCACTCAGTCATGTGGACGGGATCGAAACCTCTGTTATCCAAAACGGCGGCGTCTGATTTGTTACAATCACATGGAAAGCTCCACTTTCTCACTCTTGGAAAAGAAAAAACACTTTGGATGATTTGTTTTGAAATTCATGAGAAAATACTGCATGGCACTTAATATTGGCAGCTATCAGAGTACAGTACAGACAACAAAAATAAGAATCTGTGTTGTAACAAGAAGAATTATCTGTCTGTTCAACGTGACAGTACAAATGTCTCTAAGTAAGGCTTGATACACACGGTTTTTAAAAAAAAATGCAAACAAAGTTCCTGCTCATGAGGGAAGGATTAACAAAAGTTATGGCATAATTGCACTTGAATAGGTATCATTCATTTTTGTTATTATTTACACTCTGCACTCATTCGGCCTCGGGCGCTAGCAGCACACTGTTTGTGCTTAATACTTTCACAGCAGCCAGAAGCAGCTGATGTAGAAGTCGCTCCACGGGAAAAGTTTTATTCTGTTAAATCAATTCAATTTAGAGTTAATATATCTGATAACTGAAGGATAAATGCAGATACAGGAGGACTTGTACACCGACCACCACTCCACAGTAGTGACATTTAGTAGCAGTGAAATGACTCGATACAGCAGAGAAGTGTTTTTGTAGAAACAATCACCAGTGTCTGAGCTACCGGTCACCATTTTGATGCTAAAGAGGACGTAAATGTCAAGTAAAACAGTGATGAAATTAATGACGGTTTGGATGATCGGCTGCAGGTGTTTTGGCTGTTTGATGCAGCTGAGTGGTTTGTGGATTCCTGAGGTAGCCCAGTTGCAAAATGATTAAAATGCTGCGTCGCTGTCTGCACGTCACACTCTTCCCTTTTTCCAAGTGGTACAAAAATACATTAACAAACATCTCGTTCCTTAAGTACAAACTCTCTTTTAGAAAATACCTTTTCTTTTAAAATTTCACTTCCTCCTCTTCCTCTCCTCTCCTCTTCCTCGTCAGTGTTTCAGACCTCAGTGCCGTCGTTGAGGTTGTTGTGGAGTTTGACCTCCAGGTTGACCTGTTTGACCTTGGCCTTGCTGTTGGGCTCCTGGTTGCGGTTGAGGATGTTGATGTTTCTCACGGTGCAGTGTTTGGTGCTGAAGTTCTTCTCCACACATTTATCCATGCACACCTCCACCTTGGTGTTGAGCGGATACTCTTCATACGATTTCTGAGCCTTCTTGCTCTTCTTCTTGGCCGACCGTCGGCAGCGGCGGAAGAGGAAGCAGGCGGCCAGTAGGACTAGGACCAGCAGGGTGACGGCGGCCACGCCCCCGCCCACTGAGCTGCCCACGTGGGCGTTGAAGGAGGCGGAGGGCCCGGCCTCCAGGCGGAGCGACTTCATGTTGGTGCCGTTCTTCACCTGGTCACCCTCGTTGTCGTAGATCAGGGACTCATCCAGCGTCAGACGCCCGCTGCGATCCACCAGGTCACGTTTAGGACGGCTCAGCTGATAGGTGACCGAGCGCTGGATCCTGGGGCTGGAGCGTGACTCTGGGCTGATCACATAAATCACCTGCAAGTACCACTGGTGCCCTGCCTCCACCTGTCGATCAACAGAGAGAGAAGGAGGGCGTTAGCTACTGAGAGAACCCTCTAATAACCTGTTTACATTTCTGGCATTGTGTACGTTTGGTTTTGCACCTCACAATGACCTTCACTGTTCATACTTAGTTCAATTTGCACTCTATATATTAGGGGCCCCCTTACTACTCTGCAACTGCTGCACAACAATTTCCCCCGGGATAAAGCTTAAGCTGATCTTGATGGATTGTTTTCACATTCATTTTCTCTTAAGAACATTTAGAAAATCACAGTATACACTGTAATTTCACATTCAATGACCTGTTAAATGATTTCAAGAAAATCAGATATACGGTGCTTGTTAAGGTTGCTTAGCAACCTAAGACGCAACCTGCTGCTGCGCTCTTGAAAGCTGGCGTAAAAAAAGGGGCATAAGACTAGCGCCTAGAGCCCGACCTCTCGTTTTCTGGGTGGTTAAAGACGAGGCATGTGCACGGCCCCTAATTTACAGGGCTGGTAGTTGTGGTTGTGGCTCAGGAGGTCGCGTGAGTCATCCACTAATCGGAAGGTCAGTGGTTTGATCCCCAGCTCCTCCAATCTGCACGTTGAAGTATCCTGGAGCAAGATATTGAACCCAAAGTTGCTCCCAATGAATGTTCCATCAGCGTGTGAGTTTGTTAAAAACTGAGTAGCAGTTGGCACCTTGTATGGTGGCCTCGGCCACATGTCCCCATACTAAATGAAATGTCTTTTCTGTCTCTCTTAAGAAAATAATATGGTTGAAACTGATTCATATATACTTTGCCGAAGTTTAAACTCAATCAGACCTATATTGTTCTGGTCTGGCTGCCACCCATGACAAACCTGAAACTAGGTAACATTTCCAATGATGCCTCTGATTGTCGAAAATTCTCTTGCCGGGAGTAAGGAATAGAAATTAACCAAACAAGAACGGAAAATTTCTACTTTGTGAAACTGAAATGGTATGTAACATTCTGTGAAATAAATTCATGAAGAAAATGTTTAAAGCTACGTCCATTAAAATCACTGAGCTGTTGAAGAATACAGAATATCTCCACACATTTCAACACAGCGCTGTAACACATGACACAGCTGCAGTGCAGGCTGGTTCCACACACCTTATAGAGAGCGTCGACCTTCATTGTAAAGCCATCGACGCCCGGCATGGCGGTCATGGACTGCAGCTCGGGGATGTCTGAGGCAAAGTGAGCCTCGAAGGGAACGTCGTGGAAAAAGTTGTCACAAACGTCGGGCTGTTTACGATCCTGCAGAGCAAACACGAAGAGAAGATAATCAAAATCAAACTTAAGTTGCTACGTTACAAAGTTTTCTTTTCATTGCAAGTCAGGGTTATTCTATTTAATCTGTTGGAAGTGACACACCACTTTGAAATTCAACCAATGGCTCTATGTAGTGAAACTGGAAAAGTATTACAGCGCACATCATGCTGCACATCATGACAACAACCAGGCACCAGAAACACAATTTACACGGTGAAGGACTTCAGTGATTTAAATAACCCACAGGCTTTGAATATCTTCATAAAAATCTGGTCAGACTGGTGCGGCAGGTAAAAAAAGGAAGCTCTTTGTGTGTGTGTGTTTGTCTGTATGGGGGGGATGTTCACCTGCTGTGTACAGGCATAACATTACAGGAAGAGTGAGGTTATCTTAGGTCATCTGAAGCTGATAAGTCAGAGGAGAATCTGAGATGCTCTTTTTTATCTTGAGGGTAATAGTTCTACAAAACGTAAATGAAGTTGATGGTTTTCAACAAAAATGTCTTATAATAATAATGTCTGATTATAATCTTAACAGATATAAGACCTTTGAACAGAAATAATCAGCAACTGTTTAGAGACAGACACAAACGCTCTTGGTACACTTGGACATTCACTGTAAACTGATTGCTTCAAGCTGAATCAAATGTTTGGTTCTCTCTGAAAGAAAGAAATTAAAAAAAGCATAATTGTGGGACAGATGGGGACAGGTTCCAGGTGCCTATGGCTGCATGGGCTGCAGGACAGCAGTGTGCTGTAGCCATCAGCCTTGCCCCCACCTGTCTCCTATGTCCCTCAATTTTAATGCACCACATCACACTTATGGGCACTCACATTCACATTCACGGTGTAGGGTTAATGTTTCTCCGTCAGGGATCGGAGAATCATAGTAAGAGGGGGGGTGGTGGGTTTACACACACTGTAGATACGCATGGCGTGGCTAGTGGGGCCCGGCCCTCCTGGGCTGAGGGTTGGAGCCAGGGAGCCCATTTACATCATGGTGGTGTGGCTGGGTTCCCGGTGTCTGGGGGGTCCCGTGGCCCTGTGGCGGGTGGGCTGGGTGGCGCCCTGGGGGCTCTGTGGGTTTCTGCCTCCTGACCGGCTGTGGTTTATGGGCCCTCTGCCAGAGGGTCCCGATGGGGGATTGACTGCTCGTGGCGGGCCGCTCTCTCCTGTGTGTTGGTGGGGGCCTGTCCTGGGGGGTTCGGGCGGGTGGCCCTTCGCGGTCCCCTGGTTCCCGATGAGCCGGGGACATATGCCTTGCAGCATCACCTCCTTGCCTCCCGCGTCCGCCCGGGCCTGGGTGGGCTCTCACTACCGTCCGGTCCGGCGTCTGCTGGTGGCCAGCGCCTGGTGCGGGCCTGTCCGGTGTGGTGCTGGTTCTCTCCCCGGGGGCCGAGCCGGGCCCCCGCGCCTGGCTCCTTGGGTCGGGGGTGGGGGCGGGCGGGTGGTCGGGTGCGGGTGGTGGTTGGAAGTTTTTCCAATAAAGGCTGTTAGGCTAGTCTCCAGGGAGGGTGGGTAACGGTCACAACCACGCATTATGGGTATAAAATACTTGACTGCAAGATTAACAGTGCATCAATCTTCACAAGAAGCTTACACCCTTTAGTGGCGCTAAGCTATGAAGACCAATGCAGACAAGTAGGAAAAAAAAAAAGAAGCATAATATGCAGATAAAAAGTCATCCCTCATGGCCAGAATCTGAAGCTTCCCTCTTTAAAATCTGAGTGTTCAGCATCCATTTTATGAAAACGTCGTGGTTGCATTTTTTGTTCCAGCTGCGGCAGCCTGTTTTTTTTCCTGAGCAACAATGTCCCTGAGGGCCAGGGAGGGCCGTGGACTCTCCAACTGTGGACAGAGCCTGTCATTCAACTAAGAAAACACACCGGCTTTTATATGAGACAGTCATTTGTTTCTAATTTCCCTATTTCGTAGTATATATTAGTATATTTAATCATATTTTTGTTGGTCTATTTTTAAAATTTCTCCCAGTAATCATGTTATTTCAGTGTTTTTGCTGTTTTCTTGTAATAACTTGACATTTACTGTAAATGTTTCACATTAAAATGCCTCAAGCAAACAAATGCCTCCAATTTTATTGTGAAACGACAGCAGGAAGTGTCAGTTTTCAGTAAAAGTAGATATACGCATAGAAAAGGACAAGAAAGAACTGAACTGATTAGAAAGTCAGACTCTAAAAGTTATACTGATGGATTAATGCTTTGGAAATGTACATTAAGTTAATTTTATCATGACAACCATTATGCAAATAATTGTGTTTTATTCTCCTTTGTTCCCGGTCTTTATTTGTTTATCCAGACCTTCTCTGGTTGTTATGTAAAACCTGTTTATTATCTGAACACTGGAGTTCTCAGGCCAAGTGATAACACACTCTGAATCCTCAATATGTTGCTATTTAATATTTAATAATGATCTTGGTAATGATATTTACCCCCAGGCAGGCAGATATATCATGCATTTTGAATGACACTCTCTAAACATGCACCGCACACCAGAGTAAACACAAGAAAACATAAATATTTGTACCAGCAGTAAGAAGCGGTGTTTGAGGTTCTTGTTGGGCTGGATGCAGCCGTACTGCGGCCCCTCGTTGTACAGTGTCCCCGTTGGGTCAAAGAAGGGAACGTATCCGTCCCTGCCAGTACAGAGGTACACCTTCTCCAACTGCAGTTTGTAGGCTGCGTTCAAGTTCTGCTCAGGGTTCCACAGCACCCTGCCGTACAGAGTCTGACCTGCGGGGGGCAGCAGAGGCACAGGTTTTCTTTTATTAGTACATGTGCATGAAAATGTGTGTTTGGGCTGCATTAAACCTCAAAGCGTCTTCATCTGTGACTTGAATCAAGTGAGTATTACAACATTATCTTGGTGTATTGGTTAGAGCCTCTTAGTTAGTCATCACATTAACTTCTTCACATCCACTGCTCACTGCAAATCTTTCATCAAATAATTCACCATGTCTGCCATCTTTAGTCAGAAAAATTAAAAATAGTCGGACAGAGTATTGTGACAAATTTACGAGAGGTTGGCAGGGAATTTCTTAAAATTCAGTTGAACAAAAAAGCAGCTTAATGCTCTTTAATTACTTTTATAAAGGCTGTTTTTAGAAGGTTATACTCTAACCCCTCTGTCATACCCATGGAGAACGCTCCCTTGTAGTCCATCTCAGCCATAGAGACGTCAGCGGTGGCAGGGTCCATCATGAACACCTTCTCGTTGTTACACAGCTGGAACTCCGTGTTGAGGGAGTAAACCACAGGAACGGGCCGGTTGGTCTGCTGGAAGGCGATCGGCACCAGAAACCTGTCAGAGAACAAGAACACAGTTCAGGATTCAAGTGACCTGCTGTGCTTTTATTGGTAGAAGAGAATATGTCACTTTTAAACACAGGATTCCAGCAGGGACGTACTTCTCTGGAGCGTGAGCCGTGCAGGACAGAGGTTTGTCCCCGGGGTCGATCCAGGGCTGAGTGGGCTGGACGGTGCAGGGGACCAAGAAGACGGTGTACTCTCCAGAATAGTCCTTCCTGTTGAGGAATACACACAGAAAGACAACACAAATGATTATCACCAGGCACTGTGATGTCAAATGAAGGAACTAAAGACCCCGCCACACCAAGCAACAATCAGTCTGTCGCCCTAGTTGCTGCGGTGAGTTCTGCCTCGTTGGCCCTTGTTGGCCCCTGTTGGCTTATTTTTTTTTGCCGATTCAGCATGTTGACTTGGCAACAGTGACGGCCTAGCCCATTGGTGAATTAAGTCACTCTGACTGGCAGTTCAGCTCAGTGCACCAGAAGAGAAACGGAAATGAGGAAAGTAAACAAAGAGCTAAAGTCAAGAGGGAGTGGGACCAAAACAAACTTGTTACATAAGGTAAGACTATTTTTCTTTACCCATCGAGCTCTTTAGCAGAAACGTTTTGTTTGTGTTACTGTTTACCAGCACATGGTAAATATGCTTTATTCCGTCAGCACTGGATTGTGTTGTTAATGTGCTAACCGACTAACTAGCATCAAGACAGCCTTCCTGATTCCCCTTTTGAATGACGATAACAAACTACCGCCGTCTGCTTGTGTGCAGGCACAGAACGTTTGTGCTGGTTCGACGTTGGCTGTAGTCTTTGCAGTGCGTTCATGTGCAACTTTTCAGCCGAGACACAATGGCGTCAGGCAACACAGCGGTGGGCCTTTGTCGCCACTAGTTCTCTGAAGTCAGTTTGGTGTGTCTGAGCCTTAAGGATTGATCTAAACAGATCAAAACCTTCTGGGTCTTTCAGAAGTTGAAATATCATCTCAGTATTTCCACAGAACCAATTTCTGTTGTTCTGTAAGGAGCCCTCTGAGACTCTCTGCAGCAGACATAATATCAGCCTCAAACTTCTTCTACTTCTCCATCTTCTCATGTAGTGTGAATTGTTTGTGGCTACTGTGACCCTTGGCTGGATGACACTGCATTTTTGGAAAACTTTAAGTAGATTCAACTAATATCTGTGTGGTGGTGACAGTCTGAAAGTTTTGCTAAATCCTGGAGCAACTTTGCAGTAAAACTTCCACTATCATAATCCCCCTCCAGCTGAACTGTAAAATATCAGTGCATCCTCCTTCACTCTCTCTGATTGTGGCTGTGTATGAACTGACTGACCTGCTGTAAGAGCTGGTGGCTCTCCACAGCTGGTACGGGGAGTCAAAGGTCTGAGCGCTCCACAGCAGCTGAATGTCGAACTCGATGCCTCCGAGGTGGTCGGGAGCCATCAGGTGGGACTTGTGGCCCGGCAGAGTGTGGTGTTCGAGGACAAACTGACCTGGAGGAAGAAATAATGGAAGAGAAATTAGACAGAGATATGAGTTGTTATGCTCTGAAGTGGAGGATGACTGGCTGAAACTGCTCTTCATCTATTAGTCCAGAACGAGGACAATGAAGTATATTTGTGGTATTAATAAGACAAGAGACAAAAAATACAGCCAAGACAGACACCAGCACAAACAGCATGTTGGTAGACATAAAACAAACATATAACAAATAACAGAATTAAAGTGGATGGTGGAGTCCACACCACAACTATATAACGGCAATGACAGTGATGAATGATAGCGAAGAGCGATTTGATGACTGTCCGAATTTACAGGCCGACACAGCTGGAGCGTGCAGCCCGTGCCTGTCACCTCTGTTTACAGAATGCCATTGTTAAGCAGTGTGGATGCTCGCTTCGTTAAAGTTATTGTTCTTGGTGTGGACAGCCCTTCACATCTGAAATGAAATATGGTGGGTGTTGTGAACTGACCTCTGAATTTGGCGTGGGTTTTGAACTCAATCACCAGTCGTCCGTCCTCTCTGATGTAGATCCTGATGATCTGCAGTCTGGCTGAGAGGACGCTGTCGGTCTGGATACCTGTACGCAGAAAACACCAGCCAATAACGTCAGAGGTCAGAGGTCAAATTAAGATTAATGCAGAATTGCAACACTGATCAGATAAATTAAACAACGAAATTGGATACTAATAATTTCAAATAATGACCGATGCACCTCATTTAATATTAAATGAAAAAGAAAACATGCCGACTATGAAAAGTTGTATATTTTCATTTTGTATCTACTGTCTTATATCCAATGTAAGAAGAGACACTACCCGAAGGAGCAAAACCATAGCGGGAGACTTATTTTCCAGTTTCTATTTCAGTTCTTTGCTGTGTTTGGTCCTGACCTGTCCTCCACAGCACGGTGTCATAGAAGAAGGAGAACTCCATCTCAGTGTGATGCTCCAGAGAGGCCCAGCCTCTTGGTGCCGTCACGTAGATGTAGGACACGTAGAGAGGAACCTGCACTGTCAGGAAGGACTGAGCCGAGTCCCGAACCTGGAAGAACAACAGCAGGCTTTAATGTTGGTTCTCCACCTGCTGGCTGGGACCCCTCAGAGGGTCACATCAGGGTTTGAACCTCTACTGTGAAGACCCAATTACTTCTGATGGTACTGTATGTCACATGTTGCTCACAAGGACAAGAGCAGACTTTCAGACTCAAATTTTAGGCAAACGTGAACAAGTGCTCAGAATAATGGAAAGTTTGAACATGTAATGTTTCATGGCAACTGACCAATCGTCTGATTATGAGGACTGTGGTCCAAAGCCCCTAAAAAGGTGAGATCTCAAGTGGAGTTTAACAACATTATTATGTTGTTAATCCAGACTTAAATTTCCATCTGACGACAAAGATCATCGTAGCCTGAAATATACCAACTACACATCTTTAGGTGACAGATCAGGCTGGAAAGCTACTTGGTCAAGGTGTCTGTAACAAAGTTTAGAAGGTCTAATGAACCATTTTAGACATTTTTTAATTTGCAGTGACACAAACAATTTGTATCTGGTCCTCACACAAAGAACTGGCCCGTTACTGAACTGTTTACCTGGAAATCAGCTGTAACAGAGCCCCCGCAGACGTCAATGAGCTCCGTCATGTCATAGTAGGCGTCAAAGGTCCAGATGCAGCTCTTGAGGTTGAGGTGCTTGTACAGCTGGATGCTCTTGGCCTCCCGGACGTTGGGGTTGAACTGGTACGGGCGGTCGTATCCCGGCCCCAGAGAGATGCTGTCATAAGAAATGTCATCCAGGAAGCCTGTCTCTGTGGGAGAACGTTTGTATTAGTGAGGAATCTTTGTGTCATGATCACAGATAATTATAATTTCTTATCTAAACAAAGATCTGGTAAAAAGTTTAAGCACCATTCTAATGCAGTGCACAAAGTAAAGCATATTGCAAGTAGCTCAGGTTAAGGGAATTCACGGGAAATCCATGTGTGTGTCTGTGTGACTGACCGGAGACACCCTGCAGGTCTTTGAGGGTAACAAGGTTGGAGCAGACGTGCTGCTGCCTGTAGATGGACTCTGACAGCAGGAAGTGCAGGTTGTGCAGCGGCATGGTGGACACCAGTGGCAGCATGCCGTCCTGATGGGGGATCTGCACTGAGATATGGATACTACACAGGGACAGATAAAGAGACATTAACAAACAATTCATTAAGTTTTAGTTGAGACTTTTATCCAAAAAGCGACCATCCACCGGTTCCTACTCACCGGTTGGGGTGCTCCTTGTGCTTGACATCCAGGTACTTGAGCGTGGCGATGAAGGACTGAGCCTGGAAGCCCCTGGCGGTTCCCGTGGTAACAGGCGTGTGGCAGATGGAGCTGTCTGTGCCGATGGTGACGATGTTGCTCCTCAGCGGTGTTCCAAGGTGACCCGCCTTATCTCTGGCCTGAGCAACGCAGCGAATGTGGAAGCGGCGGCTGAAATAAATACTGTCCAGGACCTGAGAGAGACAGCAGAGGGGACGAGACATGAGAGACATTGCATTGAAACTTTAAGGAGGTTTAATGTGTGTCACTAGGTAAAAGTTATAACACCATCTCTAACACTAAACTATTCCATTTCAGATCGCACCATATGGTTGACGCTGGTGTACGGGGTTGTGTCTGTAACTGTCTCGAAGGGGGACCGGGCGCCGCTGGTGTCAGTGGGTGCCGCCACCTCCCAGGAGAAGTGAACTTGTGTCTGGTTGATGCCGGCCTCCTCGCAGCGCTCCTTCATCACCGAATACTTGGGGTAGTGAGGGTCGCAGGGGGTGACGCACACCAGAGGGTAACCTGGAGAGGGCGTCTTCTTGCTGCCTTCTTTGGTCACCTCCTGGACATGATCGTAGTCGGCGAGAGAGACCACCTGAGGAGGAAGCAGGATGGGAACTGATGAAGTTGATTTCTTTATTTCAACGTGATACAGACACACAAACACTGCACGAGATGGGACCCCTGCTGAGGTACTAAAAGGCATTTGGGGTAAAATCATGCATCCCATAATAATATGCCATGTGAACATAGCTGTACACAATGGAAGTGGTTTTGGTTAATTGCATAAGAAGTGTAAAATGCTGTGAACGAACGCCTGAAGGGAAATGCTGCCCATGTTTCCTGCTGGAGCTGCTGAACATGTAGGAGAGGAGAGCAGAGCTTTTCCCAGGAGTGGAGATGTTTCTGGTTTCTGGCGTCAATTTCTCTAAGTGCTACAAACATGCTGAACACTCAGATACAAGCCAACTTTCTCTGTCGAAAACAAACCAGTAAGCAAGTCACCAGAGTCCTTAACAGAGCTGCTTCAAACACATCCTGTACCAGTTTGTCCCACTGCTCCTGCTGCACGTCTTAACGCTGCTCTGTGTTTGTTTGTTATCATCAGATAAGGCAGACCGGATGAATTAGTTATGGCACTATAACATGTTTAGCATTTCTTACAATAGGCGTGGCAGGGAGGATGAGGCTGCCCGAGGCCTCCTGGTCCAGAATGGTCACCGTTGCCATGGTGATCTCCCCGAGCACCGCCTCCACAGGGTCGTCAGGGCCGAGGACCAATGAGAAGGACTCGTGCCACTCCCTGTCCTCGTTGGACAGAATCTCCACCTTGAACAGGATGTGGTCCATCCCTACGGAGGGAGGCAAAGAGAGGAGTTCAAGTCTGAGCTGAGATTTAAAATATTTAAAAAAGAGAATCTCTTTTGAAAGTTTTAACTTTGTTTGTATTAGTCAGATATGAATTTTCAGCACTGACCAGGGGTGAATTTAAGCACTCGGCTCTTGGGATTGTAGTCGACTCCAGACTGGGCCGATCCATCCCGGGTGCTGCAGCGGATCTTGGAGGTTCGGTCCAGATCCCCTCGACGGATCACCTTGATGTTGAGCACCTCGATGCCATCGGGACCAGGAGGCTCTCTGACTTGATAGGACGCCTGCTCAAACTCGATGGTGGGAGCTGCAGCAGCAGAAGAGGATGAAAGGTCACAGTGGCGGTTACTTGTATATCACTGACTGTGTGATATGCATGTTAAGCAATACACTCACTGGCAAATTCACAAAGAATGGATTTTGGCCACTGAAATGTGCATCACTTGCAACTGCTATTAGCCTCATCTCAAGGTCCAATTCACAAATGATATTGCATATTACAGCACAAACATGCCCATGAAGTTTTGCAGATGAGTGCAATGTGATCTTTTTGCTGGTTATTGGAATTATTATTGGCAAAATATAAATGGCAGAATGACGACAGAAACTTTCAGAGCGTGGGCATCAGATCCAGAGGCATTCCTCCAAACTTCAGAGAAGGATTTTAAATGTGTATTAATTTCATATCCCAGTCTGTCAGTGCGATTCAGTTACCACCACCTCTGAACATGCTAAGTGTGTGGCTATTAGCGTTCATCTGTGAATTGGACTGTTTTTGCAATGAGACTCTTTTTCGTAGAGAGGCGCCACCTTTGCTCCAAATGTATGCATATTATCATATTTAAATACGTGCAAATATCACAGGAGCACCGAGACATTATTTGCCTGGCACTGCAGTTAGAGGTTCATTTCATTCTTTGCAAGTGCTTTGACAATTCTTTCTTTTTGCCTTATGTGTGCAGGTTTTTTCTCTGTATAGGCTGCACGATCCTTTTATGAATTTGCCCCTCAATTGCCATTTTATTAGATACACCTAGATATAACTACTGCAGTCCAGACAAATGTCCTGCAATAAATCATTCTTCATGAAGGTTTAGTTTTTGATGAAACTGTTGTAAGGACGGAGCTGTATGATCATTTTTGGAGGCCGTAGTTTGCGGTGTTGCTGAATTGTATCGTGTTATGCTGAGTGCTGTTTCTAATATCTCCACTCCATCTCTATCAATGGGAATAGCCTTTTAGGGAGGCTGGCTACTGGATTAAACTGAATTTGTTTCAGCTTGGTGTACCTACAGTATACAAGATGCTGTATATAGGAAACCATAGGAGGTATACAGAGATGTTGAATATGTGTCAAACTGAAGGGTTAACATGGGGAAGTTTGCTACCAAACAAATGTGAAAGATAAATGTGTACATGTACAAGGATTAAAAAATATATATTATTTTAAATGGAAAAAAACATTACAAATAACATGTCAAACTAAATTTCAAAGTTGAGTTTATAGTATTTTTAAATAAATGTGGTTGGGGGGAGCCTGCAAGAACAATATCTGCTTGATACATTTGTATTGATCGCAGCAGAACTAATATGTGAGCTGAACACAAACTGTGGAAATCTGATATCATTTCAAAAGTTTAAGAACATGCAAACAACACTCTAACTTCTTGATAAATACACTCAAACCATAATGTATGACTTTCATGAGCTGGCTGGTGGAAGAGGACAAATTAAATGTTCTCTCTGGAACAAAAACTGAGGTGCCACAGAAGTTTAACAATCAGTGATGAGTGAGACTACATCTATAAACCAGTAAACTATCTTCTGTATGAGGCGTCTGCTTACCATCTTCGTCATTGGTGATGGTGATGGTGACAATGTCGCTGGCGCCCACCATGGCACCACTCCAGTGGTCACCCAGCGGTGTCCCAAGATGCACCTGGAACTCCTCCTCTGGCTCAAAAACAGAGTCATCATTGATGTGAACGGTGCAGTTTTTTACCTGGAAAACAAAAACACAAAAAAATATATTAATGGGCAGATTCACTGACAAAAAAAGATAAAATCACACTTAATCTACTTTAGATAAACACATTGGACTAAACTCTACCTTCTCTCCTTTGAGGAAAGTGATTCGAGACTCGTCAGCGTTCCTCCTCTCCTCAAAGTCGTCCATCACCATGGCTGACATGGTGCGAGTGAAACACCGCACCGATGACTTGAAGGACAGGTCACCCGTACGGATGATGGGGATGTGAAGAACGCTGTCTTTCTCCTTCACAGTGTAGGCGCTCTTCTCAAACTGCATGCTGGGAACTAAGAGAAGTGTTGATAGCAGTGAGAAAGCTGATGATGTCTGCGAGGTATATGAGAGGCCTTAAATAAAAAAATGAAATGCATATTTGATTTTAAGCGACATTGCTGTGTGTACGTACTGTCCTGGAAGGTGTCAGTGATGACGACGTTGGCTTCGTAGGGCTCCTGGAGGACAGCACCCTGAGGAGAACTGAGGAACACCACAAACGACTCAGATCCTTCGATGGATGGATTCTGGATGTCGTCCATGATGGTCAAACTGCAGGTCTGTAAAAAACAGGAGGCCAGAGTGTTAGCAAGGTTTCTGCAGGTGTCCTGGGCCAGGTCTGTTGGTTTAACAGCCCCTTTTACACAGCCTGTTCAAGGCGGATATGTTGCACCATTATTCTGCCTTGCCGTTCTGTATAAAAGGTACAATCGCAAAACGGAGATACAGGGTTGCCCAATCGATGTCTGTGTGAAAGGGACAGCTGGCAGGATGGGACCATGTGTGCGATCCACTGCTGGGAGATTTAAAAAGCAGCTAGAAGCAGTTAGCGGCTAACTCAAAGAAGAAGAAGAGCAGCAACTAACAATGTCCAAAAACTGTGAAAACATGAGATCCAGGAGCTTCTCACCCTCCAAGCAGAGGACAAAATCAGCCACCATATAACAGGGACAGTGAGTGATTGTTATTGTCATGTTATGGCATTGATATTATTTAAAAAGCGCTTCCAACATGTACGTTATATGTCATACTATAGGCTGATGCTGTTGTGTTAAAGGTCACGCCTGTCATGGCTCTTTTTCTCCCGGGGCGCCGGCATGCTGTCTAAAATCACACACACTGAGGCAGCATGATGCCTGCGTTGTTTGGGCAAAGGCAGCTGAAGGTTTTTCGTAGCGGCCCTATCGTGTGATCTCTGTGTAAAAGGGCTAAAGATACACAGGAAAGACACCTTGTCTTCAAAATGTTACTTTCTCCACCCTGGTAGCTCCACCAATGATGAATGCATATCATAAAATGTGTCATAAGGGTTAAAGCCTCCTAGAATGGAGGCTTCTAGGAGATGTTCTTCTTGAGCTGAACATTTATCCATGTAAAGATGTTTATCTTTAAGACTATTAGTGAAGATGCTTCTTTATACCCATTCAAATCCAGCTGCCTTTAATTTAGCACTTTGAGGTCAGTCAAGTTTATTTATAAAGCACATTTCATACACAGAGGCAGCTCAAGGTGCTTTACATAATGAGGTTTAGAAAAGACATAGGTGTGAGAAATAAAAGTGTGGGAAGGCGAAAAAAAATTAAAAGAGGAGATATTAAAAGACACAGATAAAAGGCAAAAACATGAATGTAAAGTCTTTGGCTTGTAGCAGTTCCAGTTGGTGCAAACTTTCAGGTATCTTTGCTGTAGGTGAGAAGTCTCTGTCCTTACCTCCTCAGTTCTTCCAGGTTTGAACTCCACCTTCTTGGAGCTGGGGATGTAGTCCACCCCTGGGCTGGCAGAGGGGGGGTCTGAAGGTCGGGTGGCGCACCACACAGAGGTCAAAGAGGACAAGTCACTGCCGTGGCGCAACACCGGGATTTCAATTGTGCCTGGAGTGTGGAGATGAGAACGTAACACAGGTGTAAATAAAATAGAAATGATCACGAGTCTGCATCTTCAAACTACAAATGATAACAAAGGAGCACCAAGTCTAAAACATTACGTGACCGTCAACAGCCCTGGTTTGAGAAGTCTTCTTTAATTGAAGACATTACTATAAATCTTCAAGTTAAAATGATTGCAAAAAAATGTGTGTGGCAACACTGACCTAATGTAAAAGCAGTAGCCTGCTGTGCTAATTAATAAAAGAGGTAACTCTCAGTCCTGTGTTTCCTGCTTCAGAACATGTTCTCTGCTCCAAAATAAATTAACAGACTAAAATACGATATGCTGCAATCTACAGACCAACATGGGGAAGAAAAAAGAAGATAATCTTGTTTCTACAAATGAGATGAGTAAGTGTTCAGGGAGTGTGTTGACATTCTCATGTGTAGGAAGAGGGTCGGGGAAGACGAAATTAATGCTAAACCCTTGGATCTTGGATGTAGCCATTAAAAAACTTTCTTTTCCAAAGACAATTTGTAGGCTTACTCTTCCTTGGACTTCCCTAATTTCCCCAGGGAGATCATTACATGTTCACATTTCTCTTAGAAAATACAGTCATGCTGTGGCATCTGAAAAAATAATTCCTCTTGAGGATAGAAAAAAACTTCAGAAGTAATTCTGTGAAAATGCAGAAAGAAAAGAGACTCATGCAACCACTCTGTGAACAGAAGCAGCTCATACCAGCATCTTCACTGAAAGTAAAGGTGGCGTTTCCGAGAGTAACAGTCGATGCATCGTTCGGTCCATCGATGACGACCTTGGCTGTCATCACGTCCCCCATGCGGGCGTTGTCCGAGGCGTCTGACAGCACCAGCTCGAACTCCTCAGACAGCTCGTACTCGCTGTCGTCGATGAGCTTGACGTCGCACGTGGACATGCTGACCCCGGGGCCGAAGATGACGCGGTTGTCGTTGGTCATGCCGCGGCTCTTGTAGTCGGAGCGGGACTCCAGAGCGTGGAGGCTGCTGCCCTGAGCCGTCTTGGCGATGGTGTAGCAGAGAGCAGACACGGTGCTGGAGGTGTCACCTGAGTGGAAATAGGGCAAGAGAGGAGGGTCACTGCTGGTCATATGTTGACGACTATTTCTCTTCTGCACTTTGGATTGCTTTGAAATATGTTCCATGCTTATACTGAAAGATGAAGGTAGCTTATTGAGTTTGACTGAGGGGTTTTATTCACTGCACTCTGCAAAACTGTAGACATGTTTGCTTGGATTTAAGTGGCACCAGAAAAGTTTGGTTGTATTTTTTTTTTTTTTTTTGCCTTATCTTTAACACACTTACTTGACATTTTCCAGGTAACAACCCCCCCCCCCCCAAAAAAAACAAGCTAGAACCAGATAAAATCTTTTTGGTTGATAAGTGGTTTTAAAACTAGAACAATCTTGTCAATTAATTTTCTGTTTATTGACTAATCAGTTACGACGAATACAATAAAAAGTGGAGTCTTTAACAGCAGAATCAACTGTATTACCATTTAGCATCTGACACTGAAAGTCGACCCGCCTCATGCACACTCATGCTGGTTGTACATTCATTATGTTGCTGTTTAACTTGCTGCAGTTTTCTGTCATGGACCTCTTTACGACACTCGTGGAGGTGGCTGAGCCAGCAACTAGAAGCTAATGGTGCTAGCAGTGTAAACAGCACTAACAGCGGCAACAGTGCTGATAGAGCTAATGGTATTAACCTGGGGGAACTGGAGGGTTGGTGCTGCTTTTCTGTGACGCTACCTCCCTGATATCAGTGCTAACTACCATATGAGCTCAGTGCAAAGAAACAACAAATTGGTTAGCCAGTGGGAGACACATATAGGGGCTTGTATGCCGGATCGTCTACTTCACTAAAGAACACGGTAGATTTCAACACACACAGGGAGTGTGACTTCATTCTTTGCTCAGGACGCCATTACAGCTCATCTAGCTAAAGGCTAGACACATATACAGACACGCATGAAGCCTTGTGTCCGTACCATGCGTTAATTTTGACCGTATTTGTGCAGGATTTCTGAAAGCTCACAGACACAGACAAAATGGAGCAGTACCACTGAAGACTGTGGGGGCAGTGTAGCATAGTTCAAGCGAGGTACGACCATAGGAGACAATGAAGGCATTAAAAAATGCTAGAATGGAATGAGACGGTGATATACATGTCATGATGTATTCAATGGCCTCACAGACCAACACTGTCTACGATGCTGCCTCTGTTAAAAGGTACATTATTAGGACCTTCTCCATTGTCGCCTTATTTGCTGCGTGAAACATTTGACTCTGCCCTTTAGCGCCATCTATTGGCTGTATAAAGACAGTGATGTTTACAAAGCTTTAAATGGATCTATCTATTTTTGTAAGTACAGTGCCACTATATCTAAACATAGCACAGTCATGCTGTTATATTAATGCTTGCAAAGTCATATACAGAACCTTTAACCTATTAACACTTAGTGTGAGAATATAATGGCCTTAAAATATGTCTTGCAACAAGCATAGAATACATTGAATAAGTCAAATATGTCAAATAAGTGAGGAAAAAACAGAATGGGAAGTCCATTTTGTGTAAATAAAAGGTGGAAATGAAATGGTTAATAGTTAATAGCTGTTTGTACAGTGTTCACCTTTTCTCTCGATGGGTGCGTGGATGAAGCCGGAGCTCTCGTTGACGTGGTATGTCTTCTTATCAAACTGCAGAGTCGGTTCGTCCTCGGTGTCGTTGATGTTGACAATGGCGCGCGTGTTTCCACCCAGCAGCGCATACACAGGCATGCTCAGCTCCACATGGAAACTCTCTGTTCCCTCAAACACCTTGTCATCGTTAATGACTATGGTGCACACCTTGGTGTCCTCGCGCTCATCAAACTGTACCTGTGAATTAACGGGATAGTTGTGGTGTCGCTCATTTCGGCATATGACTAGTAATAATATTAGACACCAACTTTAAAAACTCTTTGTTCTCAAGACAAATGAGACCGTGAAAGTCTGGAAAATAGTCTTTAAAAATGTAATTACCAAATCACTGATACTTAACTTTAGTGAATTTAAACCAAGAAAAGCTCAAAAACATTATGTCAAACCCAGGGACAGAAGAAGGAAAAGGCTTTTTTTTTTTTTTAAATTTCCTGAACATAAATGAAAATAAAATGACAACATTATGACACTGGTTACCTGTCCAGCATATTCCACATAGTCCTGCTGGCCTGGACGGGATCCTGCGCTGCTGGTGGGGCTGGCACTGCCCTGTTCAGTGCGGCAGAGCACGATGGCGTACTGGTTGAGGTTACCTGTCCGCTTCACCGTCACTGCCACCGTGCCAGCCTTCTCACTCACATTGTAGCTGTGGAACCATCACAGGAAGTGACACGTTATTAAAAAAACAGTCTCATTCATCCAGGTCATGGTAATCTTAAGTGCTATATCGTAGGCAACTGGACTAGAGAGTCGGCTTTAAACCGTGTGTGGGTGTGAACCCTTACAGAGTCGTTACAGAGTCACATGTGGTTCACACCCACACACCAATCTCTTAGAACTGAAGAAGCCTCTTGGATGAGAAGTGAAATGTCTTCAAGAAAGTCAAGCAAGTCCAGCTGCCTATGATATAGCACTTAAGACTTTTGGAAAAAAAAGCAATGAGTTTGGTGACGGTTTAGGTACGGACCTTTTGTGCTCGAAGCTGATGAGTGACCACTGGATGTGGAAGACGTTGTCGCTGACCACATTTGGTTTGCTGTCTTTGACCAGGAACTTGAAGTTGTCCATGGTTTCCTGAACGTTCTCCTGATGCAGCACGTAGCGGATCAGACCCAGGTTGATATCACCTAGAGGAAGAAGAAGAAGAAGAAGAAGAAGACGAAGAAGGAGAAGAAGAAGAAGAAGAAGATAGACTTTATTAATCCCAGAGGGGAAACTCAGTTTCACTCAATTTTCGTCACTCTGTTGTCATATACACACAGGCCTGAAATACACACATGCACAAACAGGACCTATACATGCATTAAATGGAGAGATGTCAGAGTGAGGGGGCTGCCCATGATGAGGCGCTTCAGTGCCTTGCTCAAGGGCGCCTCGGCAGTGCCCGGGAGGCGAACTGGTGCCTCTCTAGCCACCATTCCGCAATCCATGCTTGGTCTGGATGGGAACTTAAACCGGCAAGCATCCGGTTCCTAAGCCCAGTCCCTATGGGCTGAGCTACTGAACTACTACCAACACCCTGTTGTTGATTATCAGGTCATTGCAGAACAAGATAAGCTCTATTTCCGATATCAAAATAATGCTTTAAACAATGCAGCAGGTTTGAGCAGGGAGAACCATGTTCCTATCAAACAGTTGGCACTGATCATTACTCAGCATGTGACTCAGACCTGACCTGTGAGGATGACCAAACAGAGTCTGTCTCTGCAGGGTTTGGATCCTGATAATAAAAATCTTTGTAAAGGATCTATTTCCTATGACATAATGATTCCATATCATTTGCAGCCTCTGGCCTTTTTCCATTACGTGAGAGAAATGGAAAAAAGACCTGAAAATGAAAATGAAAGCCATCATTGGCTCTCAATTTCTGCTCATTTATACCTTCCAGAGGAGGTCGGAGGAAAGGAATCAATTTGTAATTGAGGGCTGAAAACTAAAAAAAAAAAAAAAAAGGGTGATGAGAGTCCCCGTGCTCGAAAGAGGTTCAAATGACCTTCAGGAAGATCAGAGTAAACACTCACATTGCTGAAGAGGAAACAGCACTAAATGGGACCACACTGGCTAAAAAATATACACTCTAACAAGAACGTCTCAAAACATTCTCAGACTGAGCGCAGAATAAGAACATGGCAGAATATGAGAGTAAATGTTGACAGTCTGTACGAATAAATCTCACTTTATTCATATTTCCTCTCTCTCAGGGTAAGGATTTATTTCACTTATTGAATATTTGTTATCGTGAAGGAAATGATGTTTACAAGCTCCAAATGGAGAATGCAACACATCAAAGTGACTGTTTGTGAGCTGCACTGCAGCCTAGAGGATCAACATTTCACAAAAAGCACGCTGACATTGATCCCTGGCTGCAGCCTAGAGGTGAAGATAAGCAGGCTTGTGATGAGAACACTGCTGATTCAAACTGCTAATTGGCTGGGAAAAACGTGGGCAAGGTGAAACTGGGACAGAGAAAAAAACACTCCCACGGCTGCTGAGGTGCCTTTGAACAAAACTTTAAGTGAAGAAGAGACAGGGAGTGGACAAGTAGGAATGTGGGGGTCAAGTTTCTGTCTTGTCCTTGTGCTCTTGACCTCTAAACCCTCCTCCCTCTCACTGTGAGGACATGTAAAATGTAGGACTCCCAGATAAACTCTTCACTGCGTTAAGTGACTGTTTAGCCCTCATCTACTCTTAATTTGGTATCAGGTGTTACAGGAAAAAGGATGTGATTCAACACCAACCTGGATAAGGGGTGAAAAAATGAGTGAATAAAGTACAATTCGGACGGGATTAGGATGTGGACTGTCAGTTTACCACAGGATGTCTGTAATATAAATGTACGATTCGCATGGGACAAGAAATCTCCATAATTCTACCAGAGATGGGAGTGGTAACTCGGTTTGCGCCCTGGCGTCACCTCCCTGTTGGCATGTGCGTGCTACGTTGCTTCCTGTAAGCATCAGCTGAAGGATAATAATTAATGATTATCCCAATATGAAACATTGCCCATGATCAGGATTGTGTGTACACAACGATTAGCAATATGGATTTATATTAGGACTACATTACACACCAGAAGTCTTGTGGCTCTGAAAAGTGCTTTCTTCTCGACCTTTTGATTGGTCTCCCACGTAGGGCTATGTGATCTTTAGAAGAATGTCCACTATCACGACTGCCGACAACACCGAATGCTTCTTCAAGCGCCTCCATCATCGGAAAAACGCGGAGAACTAGTTGTAAACAGGACGTGACGAAATATTTACATACATTTTTACAGAGGATCGCGTTCGCACGGGATTAATATTACCTGAGGTATTTTCTCCGGACTGTTTTACAGAAGGTAAGGGTCGCCGTAATTTTTACTGACATTATCCGTAATGATTACAGACATGGCGCATTCGGACGGGACTAAAATCCCTGGGAATAATGACTTTACCCCACGTCTAATCCCGTCCAAATAGGGCAAAATAACCTCTTACAATGATAACTTCTTTCTGACTTTTGCTTCACTTCACAGTTTTTTAATCTGTTGTGTTTTTCTTTTAAAATACTTTATACTTTTCCCTCTGCAGACCTTCAAAATCTCTCAAGAGAAATAATGTTATGGTTCATGTCCAAGCTTCCTATTCATCGCCTATCTAAGCAGCCGTGTAATGCATTCTGGTAGTGCCACGTTGTGTTTTGGGAGACAGAGAGTCACGATGGCTGTCGTCAAGTGGAGGTCTAGGCTACTTTATAAAAATCTGGGACGTCCAGCACAACTCCGTGCCTCTGGAACCTCCAGAAAAGCTTTTAAACCAACCACTGCCGATCTAAAATTAAGACAGGTTCAGTAATTGCATGGTTTATTTGTTGCCTCAAATGTGTTCAGAAACACATTTCGGTGAGCAATTTTCGTAATATAAAAGAAAGTTTCCAAATGAGCCGCCATGTTGGTCAGGTCTGAAATATGGGAGCAGACAGCCCACAAGTGTAAGTGGTACGCCCATGGAAACAGCGTGACCCCTAGAATCCAAAAACGTCCCCTGGACACGCACCATTAGAAGGAAAGCTACCAGAATCTGTGATGAGGGATAATATGCAGATGGCTTGACTTCACAAGCCAAAAGTACGAGAAACAACTGCCAAAGAGTGACGGCAAAATGAAGCACCCAGCCAGTCTGTTAATACAACATGTAACAGAAACTGTGACACTGATAATGACATCACTAATAATCACTTTTCTCACATAAATGTAGTTGCACACAGCTCCTTTGTCAAAAAGTGAACATATACAGAGCTACATATTTCTCTGTGCATAATATTAATATGTATCTGCTGTCAGAAACAAAGAGCTGGGTGCTGTGTACCTTGTGTGAAGGTGGTGATGGGGCTGCCAGGTTTCAGCTTGCTCTCCAGGAAGCCGTGCTTTGGCTCCGTGGTGATTTCATAAACCAGCTGTCCGTCGTCCGTGTCTGGATCCATCGTCAGCAGCTCCTTCTTGGAGATCAGGTTAGTGGCCTGATGGATGTTAAACAGAAGTGACTGAAATTACACCACAGACATCATCTGCAGTCTGAAAGCAAATGAGCTAGCAGCAGCAGCTTCATGAATTACTGTTGATGATGACTGTGTTTCTGGCTGCTGTTCTTCCTCTCTCTGGATAATGATCTGGATAAACTAAGGCAAAGAATGCTTCTGTGGTTTCATATGAGTAATGCGGATTATGATCCTGTTTTCTTCAGGACTCAAATGTATAGTTGAGATGAGGTATTGATCTTTTGCTGTTAGCCTGGTGTGAGTGTCCTGGAGGTTGAGTTTGCCAAAGCTGCACCCACCTGGAGCCCTTTATTTAACCTTAGTAGAGTACTGCTGCTGCTTGTCCTGCTTGAAATGTAGCTTGGAATCATTTAAATTTAGTATTTATCTTTTGTCCCTTCTTGGTTCATTTTGTTGACATCGTTTTTCAAAACTAAAAATAAGTATTATATAATTATGCTGAAACCATTTATTCCCAGGGTTGGACATTAACTTTTGTGCACCTGCCACTGTGGCTGCTGGATTCCAAAATCTACCAGCCATCCAACAGATTACCGCTGGCTTTTTGGCTGGTGCGTGAAGCTAATCTTGGAGCCACTTGCATATTTTCCCAGCGTTTGGAACCCTGTTTATTCCTGTATGTTGTGTATCAGAGATAGGGATCTAACACTGTGTTAAGTTTTCTAAAAACACTCCAAGCAAAAACGGGGCAGTCAAGATTATAAATGAGAAGCACAGATGCAGACTGCAGTGTCTCACAGAGAGATATTCATCTCAGGCTGCAGCTGAACAGTTTCCACTGAAAAATACTTTTTCACTGAGGAGCTGTTTGTTATCTCCAGCTGTTAGAGGCAGATGCAAGAGTTTAACATTGTATGCTAATTTCCCTCTGTGATAAAACATCCAAGACTTAATTACCTGCAGTGCAAACACAGCACAGACTCAGGATGGATGAACTAAGTGACATTTTTACAGTGTGTGCTACAGAAACTGGTGGTTGCGTTGTGTTGAGGTGTTTGAACCAGCAGGGGGAGCAAGTAAATTACACATTGTGAGCTCTCTTTGCACTTCTGTCAGTCCCAAAAGACACGGTCAATACATTACTGTGATACTATTGGTTGAAGACGACACACAGCTGTGTTTGCAGAGTCAAGTTATTTTTAAAAACTGCAGACCACTCTGCAACGACCTCCTGCTCATTCATATCTTTCATGTGTATATTGGAAACTGATAAGCAGGAGGGAACTGTTATCATTTGCAATGCAACTTCACTTTGGCAATTTGAAAGGGTAATTAGAAAGTTGATCTCCATCACTGGGTTCATTAATCCTTTTATGGTTATTAAACATCACCATGAAAAAGCAGACATAAAGTCTGTCTGCAGACGTTTGTGAGGAGAAAGACTCGTACCTTGTTGTCCATGTACTCCAGCCACTGCAGGCCCAGGTTGGTGACAATACGCGGCGTGCCATCATCAACTGGCAAAATGTCAATCTTGAACTTCTGTGGAGCAGCTGTCACGATCTGGAAAGCCAAAGAAAGTTGACAGTTTCAAAGTCTGAAGATATTTTTGGAGGAGAATCTGATGGACAGTCACACAAAAGAGAATTTAACAGCTTGAGCCTTTTTATTTGCAACATTTCCTGGTCATCCAAATAACACAACACATGTTTTCTCAATTACTTCTCTGGCCATGCTAATAGTTTTGGCTTCAGTGGCCAGGTTTCTAAGATATCTGTCCCTCAGATTAAAGTTTTAAATCTCAGTAATCAATGTCATTTAAAGGTGGGCAATACCACTAATTGTTTTTCACCAGAATCGCCAAAATGGTACCGATACATATTCCATTACTGAGATGTACTTTAATGTAGGGGAGAGTTGTGTGTCATTATTTATGAAGTGATAAATAAGCTTATGATGACCAATCAAAGTTTGAAAATGTGACATTAACCAATGCTGAAGATCTGATTTAACTAGAATATTAATTTCCTGTATATTCCTCATCTGAGCCTCTGAACAGACTCTGCCAGTGAACTCTCTCTGTGACTGGGGTCTGGATGCTCAGGCATTTCCCTCCTCCTTTCATTTTAGTTGCAGCTCTAAGCTCTCTTTCTCATGGTTTTTTCCTCTTTCATTAAGCCCTCATCTGCTATTATGTGTCACAGTGCACGCCGCATGTGTTATTTGAGTGCAGACAACACAAAAGCAGCGGACAAGCAAATACTGCATGCACTAGATGTGTTCACGACAACAGACCGTGGTCTGCGTGGACAGCTTTTACTTTCAAAATACAAATAATATGACACAGAAGGGAGAAACTATTCCCTGTTTTGGTATCAATCTTATTGACGCTAGAATCGATCTTCAAAATGGAAACTTAATATCTATAGTATAGATATTTTGGTATCAATCCACCCACCCCTAATGTCATTTATGTTGCTCCAAAAATGACATTTAAACAAGTCAGCAGCAACATCTGGCTGCAGAAACAGATATGTATAATACACAGATTTCTCTGTGAAAAGTTTTCACTTGAACTACTTTGAAATGACAAAGCTTAGGACAACTTAGTCTTTAGAATGAACTGTTAAAACAGGAAATGGAAAGGTTCCCATGAGCAGGATAGAGGTTGAATGTCACGGTGGCAAAACGCGCAGGAGGAGGTTATTACTGGGCTGATTTGTCCCCCTCAGACTGTGCTGACCACATCAGATAAACTACTCTGATAGGTACTGAGAGGAAAGACCACACAAAGAGCAGCCTGTCATCACACAGATGCTGTGAAGGCCAGCTTCATCACATGCCATTTGAAGGATGCATTCGTCCAAAAGGAGCTCATGCATTATTAAATCACACGGCAGCTCCACCAGGAACTAATTCACCTCAAACAGCGGCAGCGTGAATGCCACAAACCGTCGTCTGAGCTGCCGAACACGCGTGACCATTGAGCCAAACGTCCCCAAGCGATCGAAAGATAATGAACACAGGCCAGAGATGTGTGTGTGTGTGTGTGTGTGTGTGTGTGTGTGTGTGTGTGATCGGGGATATCAATACCTGCCTGCTGTCATTCAGTTTAATCATATGGACTATTTGTAGTGACAGGTGGCGGAGGGCGGCTGAGAGGGACGGCTAAATTGACAAGCTGAGGAGTCAATTCACCCTGAGGCTGGTTCATAACTACCACCATAAAGCTGACATTAACAACACACACACACACACACATACAGCTGTTTGTATTTCTGTACTGTTGAGGACACTCATTTAATGCATTCTAGACCGGTGGTTTCGCCTCAAGCCCAGAAAACAAAATACTGGAGGGATGGTAAAGTGAATCTGAGGGATTGTGAAATCATTTTTAAGTGAGAAGTTAGAAATTAAAAAGTGTTGAGTTTTTTAATTTTACAAAAATATACTCTTTTCAAAATGTCATATATTCTAAAAACATGTCCTCAATATCCAGAAATGTAAAAATGTTCTGCCTTGTCAAAGCATCCTCACTTTTCCTAAATGTCCTCACTTCTCAAAATGTGTCCAAAATTTTCCAAAAATGTCTGAATAGTTTCATCCCTTGTTAAAACATCCTCACTTTTCCAAAGTATCCTCACTTTTTCTAAAATGTCCTTAATTTCCTTATTTTCCAGAAATGTCCTCACTTTTCAAGAATGTTGATTTGTTATGGATGTCCTCGCTTTTGAAAGTACGCTTTCCTTTCCTTTTTGTGCTCATACTTTCCAATAATAACCTTTCTTTTTCAAAAATATTTTTAATTTCCAACAGAGATGTAACAAAATCAAAAACTCACAGTACAATATTACCTCAATGAAACATCCACAATACAGTATTTATCACGATATTAAAAATCAAAGAAAAATGATGACTAGAAAATTTGTCCTTTACTAAATAAAAAAACTGATATTTACATTCGCCATTTTCTGGCTGGGTCTGAGCCTGTGTCCATAAGTCTGTCTTTCTCGCTAGTATGATCGCGTCCTCTGCTATCAATACAATCAGGGCTTGACATCTTGACAGCTTTATAAAAATAAATAAATAAAACCGACAGGATTATGAACAATTATCATAATTTTTTTTAACGTACAAAACATACAATCAACAGCTAACAATTACATGGTGTGGACTTTCGGGCAAAAGTCTCTCACATGCGGTGATTCAGAGTTATTTAATGCTAGTAACGTTATATCGTATAGGACAATGCCGCCCCCAGAGTTAACTTTTATAGCGTCCAGTATGTCTGATTCTTCTCATCAGCTTGAACTACGCTTTGTGAGACAGACTCATACCAAAGCTCAGCAGGAAAAGCCCACCTCAGCAATACAGTACACAGTTTATTTTCAGATAACGTTGCATACATTGCAATTATTTTTCACTTGCCTGACCAGACAATTGCTTTAGGCTTTCCACTTGCCTGCACACAGAGTTTACTTACCCCAGGGCAAGTATTAATGTCGATCCCTGACAATTTTCAACAAAGAGAGGCAGAAGAACGCAGCTGTACTAGCGGAAAAAAACATGTAATATCGTGGTCGATTTCGTCACAGTCCTACAACAGCATCAAGATATTTTTAACCACCATATGGTGGAATTCAATAAAACGTTACATTCCTACTTTCCAGAGATGCCCACGCTTTTCAAAAATGACCTCAAATGTGTCACTCTCTAGATCTATAACTCAAATATGTCCTCACAAAGATAGATGCACAAGTGCACACACAAACTGCTGATTCACCCCTCCTGTCATTAAAAGGTCAGAGCAGTGACTCCCCTCCCCTACACACACACACACACACACACACACACACACACACACACACACGGATGTGCCCTAACTCTGCTAATTCAATCATCTAGCTATAATAAATATGTCAGAAGGCTGCCTCACACACACACACACACACACACACACACACACACACACATCAACCCACAATCTAACTGCAAATTTAGCCTTCTTGCTGTGGTAAAAATGTCAATGCACACACCACCCACCCACACACACACACACATATGCTGTTACCTCCTTGCCGCCCTCCTCCACCATGAAGAGCAGGTTGGTGCCATCGGCCACACTGAAGGTGAAGCGGTCCTTGAGCGAGTTGGAGCCGTCGTGGTTGTAGCTGATGCGGTTCTGATAGATGTCGTCCATGGTGAAGCTGCTGGTCTGCCGGTAGTGTTGGCCGTTGCTCGTGCGCTCGATGGTGCCGTGACGAGGAGCCTGGACCACGGTGAAGACAATGGACTCCGCCTGGACAAGATTTCAGCAGAAAAAAGTGGAGGGAGAGGAATGGACAAGAGGTGACGAAAAGAAATTCAAGTTATGAATATGTGGTGAGGATTCAAAAGAGTTTATTATTATAACTGTTCTATTAAAAAGAGCGTAACATATATAACCCACAGCTGAATAATTAAGCTCCGTTGTGGCTTTTAAAGATCCTGTGAAATCTCTAATTGCAGTAGAAGTAGGCTAGGCTTGTTCAGAGAAAGTAGCTCCACACCAAAATAGGATATTACAATAATCACAAAATAACTCCTGGACTGTGTTGAAGATGGCAGATTTATTGGATTAACAGTGTAAGAGTATCTGAGGCTGCAGGAGGAAATAGTCTTTGTGATGTTGCTGCCAGAGAAAATAAAGCTGTAGCGAACGGCCGGCGTTCTGAACAACAGCTTACACAGCTTAGTGTGGCCAGCTTAGCTGCTGATCACCAACTATTACATAGGGGTCATGCTCTTTTCTACACTGGTAAAATAAATAAATAAATAAATAATGAGAGCTGCTGAAGATTTTCTGGGATTTGTGCGTCCTACCTCCGTGTCTGCATCAGTGGCTTTCAGCTCAAACTCTGTGATGGTCTTCCTTACTCCTTCCTGGACCCTCATGCCAGGGACCTGGAGCAGAGGCAGGGAGTCGTCCACTGGCTTGATGGTGATGTAGAACGTCTGGGCAACCTGGAGACGACAAGACAATATGAAGCTGTACAGATGTGCCACTCTTTCTGGACAGTTATCACTATTTTTTGGGTTTCTTGATTTTTTAAAGTTCTGTTTTGTCCGTCATCTCTCAAAGGCAACATTGCTCATTTTATTCACCAGGAATTATTACTTGTGTATCAAACATTTCACTTCATACAAACTCAAGGATTTAGTGTTCCTGTTTCTCTCAGAACACTTGAATTACAACATGCTCCAAGTTTATAATTAAGATAAGATTCTTGCCCAGTGACGCCACAATTCAACTGCCTACCCAAGCTCCATATAGGCTGACATTTATTCAAGTCTTAAAACAACACTGACATGCCCAAATGTACCATATGTAAACAGTGGATATCCACTGGATTTGTATTCACACTACTGAGGCCTCATATGAACTTCAGCTGAATGTATCGATATTGCGATGATATGGTAAGGTTCAGTTAGATCAGTCTGGGTAGTTCACTTCACTGTAATGCAGCCTTTAAAACCAGGACATAGGATCAAGACAACACTCACGATGGCACAAAAGGCAATTTACTGGCACCTGCGGTTATTCCACAGGCTAGTTAATAACATGTCGGGCAGGAAATCCAAAGTGTGGGATCATTTTGAGAAGGTGAAGGACGAACCCAAGGTGATATGTAAACTTAACAATGTTCGTGATACTATTCTTTCTCACACCTTCAACTCTAACCACAAAAATATATCATTTAATCATTAAATTAATATCGTAAACATGTGGGTGACTAGTCGACTAATGGACCTAAATGACGACTACTGGTGGACTCGAAGAATTCTTGGTCGGGGGCAGCCCTAGAAACAATACATTTTCAAAAAGTTGAAAACAAGGCTGTTTTTGTTCACTCATAAAAATGTATTGGAGCTTTCATAGGACACCAATGATATGTTATTTTCAATATATTGCACTGAGAGCAATGATGATGGTCATGGTACTGAATAGATAAAATAAAATATGCCACTAATGGTATAGGACTCAGCCAAGCGAAAAAACTATATGCAGTCGCTTTCCATACTGTATGCCCCGGTGGACATTTAACCCAGATGACATAACCCAAATAGCACAAACTACAGTTATAACAGAAACTGCGTAGCGGTATGCCCTTGAGTAATCCCCGCTCACTACACACGAGTAAAATATTCTGCTTTAGTAACACTTTAAAATGCAAAAAAACCCTCAACTTCGATGCAGAACACTTTGTCATTAATATGCCGTGCTATTCCAACAGATAACTGAACAGACCTCCCAACTGGAGAGAGGAGAGTTAACAAAAGCAAAAGCACCAAACCACTTCACAAACACTAACCACTACAGCGGCCACAAAAGCCTCCACACACTGCAGCCAGCCAGGCGTGAAGGCCAAATGACCTTTTTCACATGTTTACTCAAGTCCTTGTGGTCCTCATTAGTCTGGATTAGCAAGGCAGATTTATGCATGAGGCGAACTGGGGGGGGGGGGGGGGGGGGGGGGGGGGGNGGGGGGGGGGGGGGGGGGTGTTGTTGGAAGGTCTGGAGTGCCACTTCCTAACCACTATAAAAGCTTGGGGTTCGTTAGCTTTGATATATATAATTATTTATAAATTTAGATTTTATATTGAAAGGTAATTACTGTGCTATGGGTTGGAAAACTTTTAACGACCCCGTGTCACTATTTCAGGCTAAAAAGCTTAATCTCAAAACAAAAAAGCCAATGACAAAGCAGTCTGAAGGGCTTTTTATGTGGAGGACAAACCGTGCCTCTCTTTAATTCATAATCATGAGAACTAAGAGACACAGATGTCTCAAGTGGGGTTTGTTATTGTTAAAAGATGCTTAAGCACAAATCATGTACAAGCCCATCTGCCTCTTCGAACAGAGCTGTCTTATCCTTAACTTCTGATTATGTGAGGGGGAACGTCTGCACTGAGCAGGCCATTCTGTAGAGACTAACTTTGCACCTGGCTACAACTTATGAGGCTCATAAAGACAAAAGAGTTTCAGTTTGTTGTCTGTTTCTGTTGTAAATTACCCAGTTTTCCTGAGGCCCTGAACATAGCTTTCTTGAGCATGGCCTTGGTGAGATTATTTTGAAATTTCCACCAAGACACATAAGAATGAAGTTGAAATTAGCATTTTGAGGTCCTATGCTCTTCAGGAAAAATAAGTTTCACTTTAGTAAAATGAAGTTGATTTTTTGGGGGGAATTTTGGAATTTGAAATGATTGTTTCTTGGTGAGGGACTTTTGTTTATATTTCTAGATGTCCAAAACTAAAGAAAAAGTCTGGATATTTAATATCACAGACACTTGGAAGTGCTCATTAACTTTTCTGAAGGCGTTCCCCCAGGAACCTCACTGGGTCCTCTATTATTTCCATTGTAAACTACTCCTAAAGTGAAGGATGCAGAGATGAAACTTTTCTCTCCTGATAAAGATTCCTAAATCTCACCTCATTACTCACATGTAACATTAGTCCAGGGATTGTTGAGGCAGTAATAATAGTTAAGGTAGCAAGCTGTTTTTGAATAAAAGTCATTTTTATTTTGGATATTTCAGAATACCAAATGCTATTATTATGTTCAGTTTCAAAGACAAACCTTAGGGGTTACAAGATGATAAAATTTGGAAGTTTTTCTTGTGAAATACTTCATACTGTCACTTCTTTATGTCTTTTAAAAATTCTTGCAATGAAACATTTGAATAGTCACTGTCTTTAAATGTATGCTAAACAGTATTTATAAATACACCTGCCAGCCCCAGACTCAATCTTGTTTGGTGTTTCGCCTCACTATATTTGTGTTTTGTGGCGCAGTGTCTCTTACATGCCTGCTGCTTACAGTCTGGCACCTGGTCGCTACTTTTAAAGCCCTGACGTTACCTGAGCGCTGTGGGGATACACGCCCAGAAACGTCCTGAAAACATAAAATAAGACACACACTTACTAGTGGGTCATAAGTGACGATTGAGAGGGATTACTTCTGTATGAGTCTATACATCATCCATCCATCTATTTTTATCTGCTTATCTGGGGCCGGGTAATGGGGGCAACAGGCTAAGCAAAGTACTCCAGACGTCTCTGTCCCCAGCAACGCTTTCCAGCTTCTCCTGGGGATCCCGAGGCGTTCCCAGGCCAGATGAGATATATACTCCCTCAAGCTTGTTCTGGGTCCATCCCTGGGCCTCCTACCTGTTGGACATGCCTATACATTGTTTTTTAGGGAAACCCTGCCCAGAATATCTTATGCTACTTATACTATAGTCTCATTGAAGTTTCCAACCTCAGTGTCCATAACTTGCAATAAGAGGTCACAAGCAGACATTGCTTAATTCTCAGGGGCCATAAGCCAAGAAGGCTGGGGAAACCCTTGTGTCATTTCCAGCATCCTGTCTATCGGTGTCTGTGGCGAAACGATCAGGAGGATCACAGGGTCCCAACCTAAAGCTCTTTTTTTTGTCACAGTGTACCTCCAGGTATCATGAAAACATTCTTTACTGTTCTTTTTTGAACACCCACATTGTTGGACCGAACTGAACCCAATTAACGCTAACAGGTCTTCAAAGCCCTTTCTGCTTCTTTAGAGCACTGTTGTATTCACCTCATTTGTCCCGTCAGACACAGTGAAGGAGAACTGATCAGCATGCTTCTCTTCTTCACTGGTGTGGACGTACTGGATACTGCGAGATGCCAGATCTGCCTGGGTGAATGTGCTGATTCTGGTGCCTGGAGAGAGAAGAAGAATAGTTGTTAGTGGAGTTGGGACAATCAGTAAAAAATCATTAATTCGTCTTTCTTTGAAACACCCACACTGTACACAAGCACTAATGTGGACAAATACACACATAAACACAAAAACATCATTAGGGCATTCATTCTTCTCCTGTTTCTCTTTGAACACATGCTGCCACACTCACTTGGTGCTACTTGTTATTTATGCATTTTGTTTCTCCCCCACCGATCGTTCCCGTATTGAATTTCACTGTCAGTTGTCTTTTATTCTCTCTTCTGTGTCTCTTTGTCACCACACTTTTTTTTCTGTTATATTTTGGCATTTTGTCTCTGAACACACACTGCATTCCTTTTCTCTTTGTAGACTTTTGTCATTTTAATGAGCAAATAAACTAAAGTTAAACCTTTTTAATGAGGCCCTGGCTCTTTTTCACTCTCTGACGCCTCGACGGATTAAAACTCAGTGGGAAACGTAATCAGGTTTGATTGCGACGATCAAACACTACTCCGTGTGAAACTAAAGGCAATTGTCTAAAAAAAGAACCAAAACATATTTTGCATCACAGGAGTTCATTTTCTGCTGATTTGTTATGGCTAGATGCTTTAAGACACTTGCTAAAGCTTTCAGGGAGGAGACAATGCAGTTCTTTGTGTGATACCTGAACGTATTCGTAGTTACATTTGATATATAAAATGCATTGAACAGTTATGTCTGATGAATGCAAAAGAGAGACTGGACAGAAGTTCAATCAAACTTCAATTTCTGTGATTCCCATTTCTAATATTTCATCTTCTAACATTTCATTTTCACAGCTGACAGTTTAACAAATCAAACATGTTATCATATAAATTGCTGCATTAAAACCAGATGGATGTCGACAGGTTTTTGTGCGGAAAGATGGAAACAATGTGAGTCCTATAATTTCAAGCTAACAGCATTTTACCATTAACTGATATTATATTTCAAGTTAGGCAGTTACAGTTTGTTACAGGCTTGTCATTGTTTGAAGGGATATTCAATAATCTATAAATGGACCTCTCATGCTGCCGGTGACTTTGATGGGGAGGTAATGACTTCACAGCCCTGTGATAATATCAAAGTTATTTCCCTAAGCAGACAGGATGGTGAAAAGTTATTTTCCTGTGCAGATGTGAGGAATATAAAATCCTAAAAACAACAATAATGGCGCAGGTCAAATATTATACTGGGAGCAATAACTCATTGGACATGTCACAGAGGGCCTTAGAGAAATGGAAATGTAGACTTTTCAACATCAATCTTCTTCACTGTGTCGACTTTTGACACCGTGAAACTCCCTGTCGTCCTCGCTTGTGTCGTCTATTCCCCAGCTGGACGTTTATACATCATCATAATCAGGAAAGGCACACAGGGAAACAGAGGCAATATTCTCCATCAGAGATGAAAATACCTGCTTATTTGCCTCATCATATTAAATGGAAATGTGTTTTCCATCTGTCTTGACAGACAATAGCAAGAAATACCAAGTTTTTGTTTTTCCAGAACATTAAACACAGACTGAATGCTGTGTGTGCAAATCTGATTTAACTCTATGATATAAGACCAGGAAAAAGCTTTTCTTATTTTCACACAAGTCAAAAGATGAAAAGACTTCAAGAGTTATTGACTCAAACTATAGAAAAGAAGAAAAAATGTACGATGCTCAATGGAGAAGAGGCAGGTCAATGGTTTTAGTGCTGTACAATTTAACTTGACTATCTGAAATCATTGCTGTCATTCTTAAAACTGGTGTGCATGTTTTCCAAAGCAAGCAGTTTCACTTGGTGATTGAAAAATCGTTTAATACTTGTTGCATGTGAGCTGCAAAAAGCGAACCCAGACATTCCTTTTGATATCTCTTCTTAAGATGTTTGGCCTGTTGTTAACTGAACACTTGAGTTCTAACACATTAAAGTTTCACCTCGCCTATATCCGAAAAAACATGATGATCACTGATAGCTGCGCTCACTTGTTGGGCATCATGGCTTTTTTTAATAACAAAATAATGTCTCAAAAGATTGTTTCTTGGTGAGGGACTTTTGTTTATATTTCTAGATGTCCAAAACTAAAGAAAAAGTCTGGATATTTAATATCACAGACACTTGGAAGTGCTCATTAACTTTTGTAAAGGCGTTCCCCCAGGAACCTCATCGGGTCCTCTATTATTTCCATTGTAAACTACTCCTGAGGTGAAGGATGCAGTGATCAAACTTTTCTCTCCTGATAAAGAGTCCTAAATCTCATCTCATGTCATTGCTTTTTTCATAACAAAATAATGTCTCAAAAGATTGTTTCTTGGTGAGGGACTTTTGTTTATATTTCTAGATGTCCAAAACTAAAGAAAAAATCTGGATATTTAATATCATATATACATATATACATACATATATATATATATATATATATAAGTGGTGGTATGCAATGTTTTATAGATGATGACACAGCAACACAAAGAAGAAAAGAAGAAGAAGGAGGAGGAAGAGGGGGAAAAGAAAACAAAGAAGAAGAACAAGAAGAAGAGAAAGAAGAAGAAACTGTAAAAATGTGACCAAAATATTGGTTGATATTGTCCATTTGGAGCGCTGGTTGTGCACATCCTAAGAAACTAACTCAATATTTCTGTAAGAGGAACTTTGCACATGAACAGTAAGAGGTGTTAGCAGAATGAGAGAAACAAACTCGCCATTGTCATGACATGCAAAACATACCATCCACAATGGCACCACTGTCGCTTTTTCCTCAGTGATTCACAGTGATCTCAGAATTAGGAATGTTTATTGTTTACATCAGGCAGATGTGGTTGTTTCATATGGTCTGATTTCTCTGGTGTGCCCCCCAGTGGGATCCTCCAGTACCCGTGTGGCACATAAGCAAGTATTTGAACTATTCAGTTCACGATGCAGCCGCTTCTCTACATAAACGCGTAGTTAAAAAGTAAATATATCTCTGGCAATCAGCTGAGAATCCCACCTACACTGAGGGGTATTATCTGCAGTGGGAAACAAAATAGAGAATAAAGTCCAGCTCAACCATGCAGTAGAGACGATGCATAGCAGAAGTTGCAGTGAACATAAGTTGAATCTGAGGTGAGAAAATGAGTTACAGTCTTCACTAATTAGTACGACAGGTGCCCTTTGACAGACGCTTCACCTCAGAGAGGTTTCACAACCTCAGCTGGTCAATAATCACTTTGAAGACTTTGGCTTTGAAAGTGGGCATTCATGTCTCTGTGCTGTTACGTTGACATTCCTTGTAGGCTGACAAGCTATCCCACAGGAGCAGCTAGCTGTGCGAGTTAGCATGGAATGACAGGCGGGCTGAATGGCTAGCGGTAATTATCCGGTGCTGCTCTGTGGCTCTGAGGTGAACTGATGCTCGAAGATCGGAGAGCGGTGTTAACATCCAGCTAATTAGCATGCTGCGAGAGCATTCAGCGATGTGGGGAATCCATTCAGCTGGGGCAGGATTGTTCAACAGCACGGAAGTGAATAATCACCTCTTTGTGACTAGAAGATGCATCTTTCTTTTTTTTTGGCATAAAAAGTGTTTAAGGCGACATAGGAGAGGTTTTATTTACATATTCATGTGGAGCCAAAACAGTGGTTTGGATGCTGAGGACATGCATTTATGAGGCTGTTGTATTTCAAGAGTTTGGAAACACATTGAATACATACTAGAAATGTAAGGCTGCAGTCTGTGTGTGTGTGTGCATGTGTGTGTGCGCTAAAATAAGCAGGAAGGACAGAGTATGAGTGTGTGTGTTTTGCAGGGGGCAGCTGGAATACATTGGAGATAAACTAGAGGAACTGAAGCAAGGTTCATTACATTTCCCTCATTGTGTGTGTAGAGTTAATTATCAAACACAGAGTGAAGCTTTCTGTATGTGACTTAATGGTATATGAGCTTGCAGCAAATCCATGAGACTCATCAACAGATCTCCCTCTGAACACACACACACACACACGCACACACCTTTCTACCTTGTTATCCATTTTACATAAATAACATTCAGCTCTGTATTCAATAAACTCCTTTGAAAAGTGAATATCAGACAAAATATTATCTTCACTCTTTTGATAATTTCTCACTTTTCACAAACAGATTTTTTGTTTCTTAAAATGTTCTTGAATAATGTATGCTGTAGTATCATCAGTGGACTGTTGTACAGTAAGAGACCTTAAGTGTTTCTCATAGGAGATTAATTACTGTCGATGCAATTACTGGGTCTTCTTCTTAAGCTTTATACTGCCTCTTCAAGGTGGGAATTCTTTGTAAAAGGTACAATCACAGAGTGGGGGGAACAGAACTGTCTCGCCTTTAAGCCAACATTGAAGGTAGTAACAGCCCCGAAACGAGGTCTGTATAAACGAGACAGCCAGTGGAATGGGATCTTGGGGGGCACGGATGTGAGGTTTTGACAACGTGGTATGCCTGTGTGTGTAGCAGTTAGCAGCTAACTCAAAGAAAAGAACAGCACTGAAGATGTCCGCAAATTGGGAAAACGATGAGGCCCGGGAGCTCCTTACCCTTCGAGCAGAGGATGAGATTATGAACAAATGGCAATAACAGCCATTTTCTGTCTCTGTTAAATGGCAGCCAACAGAGACAGAAAATGATTGTTATTGCCATGTTATGCCATTGTTATTGTTCATAAAGCGCTGCTGACTTACATGTTAAATGTCACACTATAGGCTGATGCTGTTGTATAATATCACACCTGTCACGCCACTTTTGATTCTGCAATGCTGGCAGACTATATATAATCACAACCTGGAGCAACATGATGTCATGATGTTGTTTGGGTCTGCATAGGCGGCATGAAGAAGGGACTTCGTTTCAGCCTTAAAGCACCATCTCTGTGTAAGCTTGGTCAGTATTTTCGTTGTTGTAACTGCTGTTTGCACTGTTAGCACCGTTAGCTGCTAGCCACTGGCTGAGCCTCCTCCAGTGTTGAAAACCAAGTACAGACAACCTGAATCTGTCTCTGAATCATAGATATGCTCTGACTGTTGTATACAGTGCCTTTAAATGTCGCATGGGTGATGTTCAAGTGATCCAGATTAAGATAATGTGATATATAAAGCCCCAGAACAGCTGCTAGAAGGACCTTGAGGTAAAAAATAAAAATGTGTAAAAATCTAAAAAAAAATTCTACACATACTGGCCTTTACATTCATTAAAAATGTGCAGCAATACAGGATACTTTCCAGTCGGAGTTACCACAACTCAAACCAATAGTGGAGGTTGACAGTCAATTCTGTTGGTCATGTTTATTTTGCTGCCATTATACTAACACATTAAATAATGGTATGGACCACCTGTTGTAAATGATAAGTCGTAATCATATGCTCCATATCAGAGATGACTCAGTGAATAAATAGCGCTCAGTTCTAACACCTGAAACAGATCTAGTTTTAGTACCTGGGCTGGCGGCGTGCTCCAGGTGACCCAGGCTCGTCTGTTTGGTGATGCGGAAGATGAGCTCGCTCGGCTCGCTGTCCTGGTCGCTGGCAGACAGCTGCAGCGTGGTCAGCTTCTTCATCGTGTTCTCATCCAGCACCAGGCCCTTGTTCACCACCACGGACGGAGGAAGACGGTCCTCTGGAGGAGAGAAGAAGAAGGTAAGTCACAGATGAAGAGGAGAGGAAGAGGAAATCCCTCCAAGCAAAGACTTATTAGTAAAAGCACGGTGGCCTTTCACAAGTTTTTATCTCCAAAAGGAGATAAAAATACTGAGAGCCGATTTTTCATCCTGGTAAAAAATGAAAAATATGGACCGATGCAGTGGAGGAGGAAGAAGCTGAGACTGATGAGGGGAGGAGAGAAGATAAGGGGAGCAGAGGGGTATATTAGGAGTTGGAGAAATGGAGGAATGACACAGCTACAAGTCCAAAACCGGAGAAAGATTAAGTCGGGTGATGGCAAAGGAGGGAGTAAAGCACATCAGGAGGTGTGAAAGACTGATATGGGTTTGAGAGATTTGGACAAACGGATTAAGAAAGATTGAGAGAAGGGCAGGGAAGTAATCAGAGGGCAGTGTGGTAGGAAGAGATATGAACAGAGAGCTCCACTGTAGTCACATCTGAGAGAGCAGAAGAGAAGTAAAAGAAAAGTGAGGGAATAATACAGAGCAGGATAAAACGTGAGCTGGTAAAGATATGAGAGAATCAGGACACTGTTCAACCATGAGGGACAGACAATCCTTCAGTTTCCAGCAGCTGCATTAGAAGTGCTGAACTGCTGAACCACTGCAACAGTCTGGCCGAGTCCCCAGAAGGAAGTGAGTGGAAATATAAAGTTTGGTGGGTTTTTAGCCGTCACAGAGGAAACTATCCAGCTGACTGAGAGACACTGAAGCCTGATGATACAGAAGACTACATCTGCATGAGCCTCGTCTTCCAGAAACGACGTTTTCTATAAATAGTCCGAAAACAATTCATTTATTTGGACCAATTTCCTCTTGTCCTTGATATGAAGCTATTCCAGGTGCAACTGCTAACAACAGCTGCTTGTGCAAAGGGTGGCTCCACATCATTCATATGCAGGACGTGTCCGAGGTGCAGTGCACATCAGCAAGCATGCAGGACAAAGGGATAAATCTGTTGTAATTGCCTTCTTCTCTCCACCAACCGAAGAATCACTTGAGCCTTTATATGAGCGCTGCAAGTTAACAGAGGATGGAGGAAACCCTACCAAGCACACTGATGAAGAAGGACTGGTCGATCAGTTTGTTCCCCTCCGGATCGACCAGGTTGAACTTGAAAGACAGGCTGCCTCCCTTCTCCCCTTTGTCATGGCTGTACTGCAGCAGGCCTGCAAAACACGGAAAAGCACTCAGTGTTAACTCAGTGTTGGGTTTCAGCTCCAGCTGTAACAGTATCTGCTGGAAAAGAATTAATGCAGTTCAAAAATCAAGTTAAGAAATAAAAAATCTTTTTTAACAACTTTTCTCTTCATGAAAGCCAAAGACAAAACTTTTTACCCAGGATATCTCTCCTGATGCATGACATTTATTATCAAAAATTTCTATGTATTTAAAACCCCTATTTGCACGGGACTAGGGGACCTTATGTGTTCATCTGCACACACTGTGATGGCACACAGCTGTTTGAATATGAGCAAAGTTTCCCTGCTTCCCTTCACTGGTTCCTGTACAGCAGGGTCGGTCTTTGTTTCACTGTTATAATCATTTTAAAGCAAAAGCAGCAAGTGTATACATTCAGTAGGCTATATCTTCAGTAGCTAGCTAGCTAACCCTACACTTTTCAGGGTTTGATTTTGGTTTTGGAACAGGGAAGAAACGTATATCTTTTTCCAACCTCTCCAGGTAACGAGTATCATTAATACACGACGTGCCCCAGGCACAACATTTAGCTCCAAATCCACAAAACCAGCCTGAAAATGAAGGAAATCGGAAACAATGGAGCACAGCTGTGATGTTGTCGGACCCTGGTCTGAGCCGGCCTGATGCTATGTTATGATTGGCCAGTCTGCGTCCGGGGGCGGGACTTATCGAAGGGTCAGCTGGTCACCTCAACAGATGATGCACTCTGAACAGAAATTACTCAAACCAAAAATGTAAAGTATGTTGTGTCTGCTTGTGAAAGTTGCACAACATCTGAATTTGGACCCAAAATGCTGTCAATACTTTCAATTACACTTACCAGTGCAACCACCATAATTCACAACCAAGGAAGAGGCAGAAAAGAGGAAGTAAGAAAACAAAAAAATCTTTAAAAAAAAGATCCCGAATCACAAAGATGCTGATTTGCACGGGACTAGTATCATCACATTACCTCTAGGTTTGGCAAAATATGGTGGGTGGTGAAGTTTTTACCTGACAAATTACGGACTTGACAGCTTGACTTTATAGTTCAGACCATGATCGGTGAACATCATTTTACTAAATCAAGTACACACGGCCTTCATTTTAAAGTGGACCATGGTCACTGATGGGGTAGAAAGCGCGCTGTGCAGAGATTAAGAATTAAGGTCAAGAGGTCATAGTATTTTAGAATATCAGTAGCGTAACTGAGAAAGCTGACGCAAGTGTTTCTTTACCACAATGCTGTCAAAATTAAAGTTGTATATTTTTACAACAAATACCTAATTCAAAAATTCTCGTCACCCCCAACAACAAGACCAAATCTCTTGCCAACCACTTTCCTTGGGGATACAGAAAATATGGAATCAAACAAAACAAAAAGTTGGACTTTTAAAGCATTTTACATCTGTATAAATAGTAGAACAAAGAAGAGTGTGGAGCTGGGACAAAGACAAAAGAAAAGAAAAACCTTTGTTGACGTCCTCCTGAGTGAAGCTCTGAACGGGACCTTTAACAGAAATCTTCTCCACACGTCCGCTCTTGCTGAGCTGCAGTTTGCCGGTTGGAGGGTCTTTGGTCAGGACGTACCTGAGCTTCAGGATGTCTGAGTCGATGTCCGTACCCTTCAGATTCTGCTCTGTGATCTTAGACGAAGATCCTGAAACAATTCATAGCACTCAGTTTCTTTATCTCCCTTTGAATGACAAATATAAGACTTTTCTAACTCTTTTAAAGACTCTGTTGAGACCTTGTATCAACACCAAGTGCTGATATGACCCTCCTTCCTCCTCTCCTCACCTGCTGGGAGCTGCAGGCCTCTGTTGACGGTCATTCGAGGTCCTTCGCTCCTCCTGACGTCCATGGTGAACTCCAGGCGGCCCGTGTACGTATGGATGCCATCAGTGAGGGTGAAACCCATCTCATCTGCGCCCCCGCTCACGATTTCAGGCGTGTAGACCAGCAGCCGGTCCAGGACATCCTGGTAGGTGAAGGTAGAGCCCTGCGTGAGGACCCGGCCGTTCTCCAGCGGTTGAGAGTAAAACTGCCGTCTGCGGAGTTTGCCTGAGGGGATAAAAGATTAATGAACGTCTGATTTTGAAGTGGGTGTAGGTGTGTGGTAGCTGAGTAAAGCGACACCTCAGACTGCATCTGGTTAAGTACCGTGATTATCTCAGTCAAATGGAGGACGTTTGAGTTTCCATGCAGTACATGAAAGACGAGAAAGGTCTTTGTAGAAACTAATGAGACTTTTTAGATTCCACTAAATTACACCACTTCTTAAATCAAAGCCCAGGTTTAAATGGGATTTGAGCGTAAATCCTGGAGCATAATGAGAGGACACACACACACACCCACAAACCCACACACACACGCTCTTTTTCCCTTATACACATACATTTTCGAAATATTTCTTTCATTTTTTTAAAGCTTTTCTTTTATTTCTATGAGGCTGGTAGTGAATCAAGATTTTAAAGTAAAAAAACAATATAGTACCCTGTATCTTTTATTAAATAGTGATGGTAGAGAGGTGACAAATCACACCCTCGGCCACCAGGCCACCTCCTGACATTTGCTTTTAACATACACATATAAATTGGGTGCCTCCCACTGGAGGTGTTCCAGGCACGTCCCACTGGTATGAGGCCCCGGGGCAGACCCAGAACACATTATATATCTCGTCTGGCCTGGGAACACAAAGCTGCTATTTTTAAATATCCCATGGAGAGAGACTCTCACTGCAGCCTGTTCTATTTTGTTCTGAAAATGTGGGCGTGCAGCCTCGTTCTGTGGACGATAAACAAGGTGCAGACTTCCATCTGTGTCACCGCTGATGAGGGAATACAGCGAGTGCTGGACGGAGCAGTGAGTGACAACAACCCAGCCCACATTTAAGAGGACTGTTTGCGGTGGAAACGCTCAACGGACCTAGAGTCTTGGTACCATGCGTGAAGGGTTACTTTTTGTTCCAAAGGTACTGTACTGAGAGTGTTTGGTGGAAATGGGGCGTAAAATAGTTTGGAAAAATGATGGACAACACTAAATAAGAGCACTGTTGTCCTAAGAAATATAGCATTCTATTTCTATGCTTCCCAACACTTAGAAAGTTTCACTTTCACTGCACCTGGTGCTCTGTGGCTCAGTCTGTGGCTGCAGTAGCTCAGTGCTCCGAGAGTCTGATGCTCTGAATAACAGAACAGTATTCCAACAGTACTCTGAATGAAGAGCCCAGTTTGTGCCTGGGTGCACTCCGGTGCTCAGAGTGACTATGAACAAACACAACCAAGGTGTGTGTGTGTGTATGTGTTTGTATGTGTGTGTGTGTGTGAGACAGAGAGGGCTTCAAAAATAGAAAATCAATATGATGTGGCAGGCTGCCACAAATTAATGAATGTGTGGGGAACCCTGCTACAAATCCGAGCAAGCATCTGCTGCCAGCTTTCAGCGTAATTTGGTGTCAGTTTTTGATACTCAGTACTACAGACAGATTTGGGTCAGTGCCCAGGAAGGTTCTTTGCGTTAACATTTTTGATAAGGTGTCCTTAAATTTTGTTATTAAATAATTATCAAGATATGAACTGATCGAGACATTTCAGAGTTAAAAAAATAAACTTGTCTGTTCTTTCTGGTGGAAAAACTAAAGTGTGTACTGGGGAAGCAGTTTCTAAATTACCTCCATTGGATGGCATTCTGATACTGATATATGTGATGAGATAAATATGTATTATTTTAATATTTTATATGAAGCACAATCACTGCTTTTAAATGGTAAAAGAAGATATCATTCAGTGTGTATGTATATGCCTGATAATTTATTGAATATGAACTCAAGGACTCGACAAATTAATTTGTTTGGTCCCTTAAGTCCGACAACACGAGGTAACTTTGTGTCTGTGTGTCAGTGTGTGCTGGAGAGTTGCAGCATCCTGATGTCTTTATAAGAAGTCTGTTAAATCTGTGCACATTTCTGTGTGTGTGTGTGTGAGTGTGAGTACTATGGAGAGGCAGCCTGTTAAAAAGACGAGCTGCCTGGGACTCATCGTCCTGTACAAAATCACTTCTCTCCTGCTCTCCGTCCCATCAGCCGTACACGCTGCTGGTTTTATGGCGGCAGTACACTCGGTTTCACCGGCTGCTTTATGGTGCTTTTGCTGGGGCGGAGGCGGGGAGGGCTGTTATGAGGAATGTCCCCACGCAGGTGTCTGGCAGAGGGGAAGGTTGAAAATAACACCCAGCGAGTACCACGCTGGCATTTTTGGGTGGACTAATCTGGGAGCTGAAATCCCTCCTCATCTTTACCACATGATAAAAACATGCTGATGGGATGAGTTTAAAGAAAAAGCAGGGTCATGACCGTAACATGGTCGAACATTTTAAACTGGATCCCAGTCCAGGAGGGAAAAGTGGAACAATTTCACTTAAGCAGGAAACAAAAGTGGACATAAGTTGACATCAAAAACCTCATTGGAAATCTTGCTTCAGAGATGTCCAAGCATAGTAAAATACTACATGTTTGTTTTCTCATAGCCGTAGTTAAATAAAAGTACTGAATTGATCAAATTGATTATGGGCAGTATACTCTATCTGACCCAAAGGCTGTACGTAAAGATGGACGATACGTCTCCTCCTGCCACTGTACAAAAATGAGGCCAAAATATATTGGATATGGTCGCTGCCATCTTGCGCTGGTGGCTTCATTTGCTGCCAGAGTCTGTGCAGTAGCGATCTATGCAGTATCGAGTTCCTGCGTACACACCTGTGCAACCAACGTGTGAAGCGGCACTGATCATGAGCTCACTGATTGGCACACACAGCTGTCAATCATGATGTCACACCCCCTTTTTATAGCATCAAATAACTAATTAAAACAAAATGTATCTGAAAAATGACATTTTAAAAACAGACCAGTGTGATAAAAAACTTTCTAAAATGACAGAAACCATCTTTGGTAAAAACGTATTTGATGTGACCCATGTCCCATCTGCTAAGGGGGCGGGGTTTATGACGTACAGTACAGGCCAAAAGTTTGGACACACCTTCTCATTCAATGCGTTTTCTTTATTTTCATGACTATTTACATTGTAGATTCTCACTGAAGGCATCAAAACTATGAATGAACACATGTGGAGTTATGTACTTAACAAAAAAAGGTGAAATAACTGAAAACATGTTTTATATTCTAGTTTCTTCAAAATAGCCACCCTTTGCTCTGATTACTGCTTTGCACACTCTTGGCATTCTCTCCATGAGCTTCAAGAGGTAGTCACCTGAAATGGTTTTCCAACAGTCTTGAAGGAGTTCCCAGAGGTGTTTAGCACTTGTTGGCCCCTTTGCCTTCACTCTGCGGTCCAGCTCACCCCAAACCATCTGGATTGGGTTCAGGTCCGGTGACTGTGGAGGCCAGGTCATCTGCCGCAGCACTCCATCACTCTCCTTCTTGGTCAAATAGCCCTTACACAGCCTGGAGGTGTGTTTGGGGTCATTGTCCTGTTGAAAAATAAATGATCGTCCAACTAAACGCAAACCGGATGGGATGGCATGTCGCTGCAGGATGCTGTGGTAGCCATGCTGGTTCAGTGTGCCTTCAATTTTGAATAAATCCCCAACAGTGTCACCAGCAAAACACCCCCACACCATCACACCTCCTCCTCCATGCTTCACAGTGGGAACCAGGCATGTGGAATCCATCCGTTCACCTTTTCTGCGTCTCACAAAGACACGGCGGTTGGAACCAAAGATCTCAAATTTGGACTCATCAGACCAAAGCACAGATTTCCACTGGTCTAATGTCCATTCCTTGTGTTTCTTGGCCCAAACAAATCTCTTCTGCTTGTTGCCTCTCCTTAGCAGTGGTTTCCTAGCAGCTATTTGACCATGAAGGCCTGATTCACGCAGTCTCCTCTTAACAGTTGTTCTAGAGATGGGTCTGCTGCTAGAACTCTGTGTGACATTCATCTGGTCTCTGATCTGAGCTGCTGTTAACTTGCGATTTCTGAGGCTGGTGACTCGGATGAACTTATCCTCAGAAGCAGAGGTGACTCTTGGTCTTCCTTTCCTGGGTCGGTCCTCATGTGTGCCAGTTTCGTTGTAGCGCTTGATGGTTTTTGCGACTCCACTTGGGGACACATTTAAAGTTTTTGCAATTCTCCGGACTGACTGACCTTCATTTCTTAAAGTAATGATGGCCACTAGTTTTTCTTTAGTTAGCTGATTGGTTCTTGCCATAATATGAATTTTAACAGTTGTCCAATAGGGCTGTCGGCTGTGTATTAACCTGACTTCTGCACAACACAACTGATGGTCCCAACCCCATTGATAAAGCAAGAAATTCCACTAATTAACCCTGATAAGGCACACCTGTGAAGTGGAAACCATTTCAGGTGACTACCTCTTGAAGCTCATGGAGAGAATGCCAAGAGTGTGCAAAGCAGTAATCAGAGCAAAGGGTGGCTATTTTGAAGAAACTAGAATATAAAACATGTTTTCAGTTATTTCACCTTTTTTTGTTAAGTACATAACTCCACATGTGTTCATTCATAGTTTTGATGCCTTCAGTGAGAATCTACAATGTAAATAGTCATGAAAATAAAGAAAACGCATTGAATGAGAAGGTGTGTCCAAACTTTTGGCCTGTACTGTACATTGCAGCCAGCCACCAGGGGGCAGACTGAGATGTTTTGGCTTCACTGTTGGGCATGGATGTATTAAAAGACCTGGATACAGCAGTGGAGGCAGGACCTTGTTCATTCCAATTAAAGTTGCTCAGTGGTGCATGAAGCCAAAAAAGCTCTATTTCCGTGGTATGAAGTTACCTGGATGATCTGAGCTGCTTCCGTGTCACTGGGCCCATACAGCAGGTGCACTAGAAACTACTGCCGGTTTAGCACTGCACTAACTTGAATGGGAATAAAATGATTCAATTTTGTGGCCCCTCGAGACTTTCCGAATTTTATCAGCCTGAAGAATCTTTCACAGGGGCTGTGATGCTCGAAAAATGTCTCTTTCCCAATGTCAGTCTATGGAAAAAAAGTCTTGTTAAGCCCACTGGCATCACGTGACGGACTCGAGAGTTGTAAGTCCACTGTTTGACCACTATGAAATTTGGCTCCAAAGCCCTGCACATTACCGGGGGCCTATTTATGGGGGGCTGTCACGTCGTCCATCTTTATTATACAGCGAAAGTGTTGACCACAAGCCGAATAAATTGCTGCCTGTCTTTGTTTCACTTTGTTTTTACATAATTTGAGCGTCCAGAAAAAGCCACTTCTCAGTTGCGCTGTCAGCAGCTCCAGCTCCATTCCCCACGCCTCAATCTCTGATGATTGGTTGACTTTAGTCAGTTTCCAACATTTCATACAAAACATAATCTAATTGGCTCCTTATGGGATGGACATTTTTTCCTTCATGCAAATCAAACAAAGCAGCATTTTTCGTGTCTCCTTTGACGTTATTCCAATGTGACAAATCACTTATTATTGCTCTTCACTTACTTTTATTGAATTTTCCCCCAGCTCCTGATTCTGTAAACTTTGCTAAAATTGGGTGAGGTGATATATTGCTGAGTAAGAAATATATTTTTGTCCAGTAAAAATGATTTTTTTTGTGCAGCAATTTCTTTCAGTCGACCAAGGCTTTGGCAGGCAGGAGAGAAAACTCAATTTGGGATGGAGAGAGGACGTCAGGAAAACAGAGTGTTTGGAGGTCAGTTGATTTGAGTGTGTGTCGCTGGGTCGTGTACAGGGAGTGTGTGAGGAATGGCTGCAGTCAGTGTGCGGCGCTGCAGCAGACGAACAGTGTGTTTGTCTTCTTTTAAACTGTTTTGGTGTCGGAGGTGAGAGTAATGTGTTTACAAGTGTGTGTCTGTGTGTGTGTGTTCATCTCCATCACGTTCAGAACAATTTACTATCAACATGCTGGATACCCCTCAGCATAACTCTCTGCTGGGCGGGTTGTTAGTCTGTGGTCTGTGTGTGTTTGTGTGTGTAGAGGGAGTAACTGATAGTATGTGTGTGGTGTATGTATGTCTATATGCTAATATACTGACTACACATCTGTTTGCATAATTTTCCAGTGCTTAAGTGCTGTGCATGCTGTTTCTGTACGTACATAAATATACATGAGAATCTGCTATTGAAGCACTTCTGTAGCTGACGTCCCATTTATATTTCAAATGCAGTAATTATGATGCCATAATTACTGCTTAAGGGAATAGTTCTGATTTTCTAAAGTGCGGTTGTATGAGATACTTATCTTGTGTTTGGAGAAGCACACAGGACAACTGCCACAGAAGCTAAGCAATGTACTGCTGTGGACAGGGGCAGCAGCAAAACGTGTTTCAGGGTGCTGTCACACCTCGTTTGGCTCGGTTCCATCAAACTCAAGTTTGTTTGCCCCCTCAGTGCGGTTCGTTTGGGCAGGTGTGAACACAGCAATCACACTCAGGTGCGCACCAAAACAACCAGACCTTCTTGAAGAGGTGGTCTCGGTCTGGTTACAAATGAACTCTGGTGCGGTTGGTTTGTGGTGAGAAGGTGTTCCGACCTGGATGTGAAGCAACTGCAGTCACATGACACATTGTTTGGGTTAAACATGAGCATGTTACAGTCCTGGAGGATTATTAATGTGCACCTCCTCCTGTACTGCCTTAATATGCACATTCAGCACATCCAATGCATCAAAACATTGTTTTCTAGTTGGAGCCGCGCCTCGTTTTCAAACTGTATGGTTTGACTAAAATGAACAATGACAGCAATATAGTCCACGATGAGCAGCGCTAAAATCAACCTGCGTAGTTGTCCCTCCATTGTGACATTAGAAAGTGTCACATTTATCTTGCAAGTGTACTCTTCTTCAACGTTTGCTTTACTTCCTGGATTTTTCCCATTCCCATTCTGACCAATCAAGAGCAGCTTTCTCACACAAGGCATTTGATCTGGTCCTCTTGTAAATGCTGCCGTGAGAACACGAACCAACTCTAGGCAATTATACAACTTTGGAACAACATGAGTCCCTGATTCAGACCAAAGGAAACGACTCTAGGTCTGAAAGCATCCTCAACCTCCCTAAAAAAAGTGTTTATTTTTTTATTCCAGTGTGTCATCAGACATGCTTTTAGGTCTAATTCCACAATTCAGTGCTCCACAGTTCCCAGTCTTTTCACATGTTTTCAACAAGTACTTTCTAACATGTACAATGTGTTTAGAAAGAAAACACTGATTTTGCTTTACCCGGACTTTAATGTGTCCTTTGGCAAAATACTGAACACCTAACTGCGCGTATTTGATGAGCAGGTGGTTGTATGGTAGCCTCGGCCTCTAGTGTGTGTGAATGGGTGAATGGTGCTTGTGTTGTAAAGTGCTTTGAGTAGCTGCTAAGCCCAAAAAAGTGCAGGCCATTTCATCTGTGGGCTGCTGGTTGAATATTTTTTCCTTTATTCCAACTCTTGAAAAAGAGACCTTGATCTTGGGGCAAGATGATTAAATAAAAGACGACATAAGATACTGTTTATCTGTGTGAATGTGAGCAGCTACAATAGCAGCAGGACATCTTCATTGATGCATTTAATTTGTATTAAGAGCAACTTGCACCAGCACCATGTAGCAGCTAGTGTTTTGTTGTTGTTACCAGATTTTTCTTCCACTTTTCATCCAGGATATGGGGCTAAAGTCGAGCTCAGAATCCTGTGAAAAATTTCTTCTGCACGTCTCATACGAGAGTCCTGGAATAAATCCTCGCCTCATCAAGGTTTTATCAGTTAATGTGAATTGTACTGTGTTATATTGAGAGGTGCTAACTAACATTTTCCAAACCATTTATATTACTGAGAATAGATTAAATAGTCTAAGCTCTCAGTATAACAAAGGTAGGATTTATTGCAGGGTTGTTGATTAAATTGCATTATTTTGTAGCTAGATAGACCTAATAACTGAGCAGAAGTCTGTATACATTAGTATTAATGTGTGTGGTGTTAATAGGGCTCACCATAGGAAGGCTTCCTGATGATGGTAAAGAGGATCTCATTCTCCGGTGTGTCCTGGTCGTGGACACTGATAGACGAGTTGGTGATTACGACTCCAGAGTTTTCCTCCACGTGGATGCTGCTGACGGCCACCACAGGCTCTCTGTCCTCTTTACTCTCCTGACAGAGGAAAAAAACATTTATGAGATAATGACATACTCCCAGATTCCCGCAGTCACGTGGATAATTTTACATTTATAAAATATGTGACATAACCACATTTTTGTTCGCTGACACATTACTAAGTTTGCATATAAACACACTCTATACTACCACCTCTACATACACAAACACACCCATTCTCACACACACACGCTCAAAGATTTACAGTATGCATACAGCTCACGTGCAAACACACACGCACTTAACCGCTCACTGACAGCCTCATCAATTCAACTCAAGACGTAAAGCAGGTTTAAGTGATTGATTGGGATGCAGAGTTTGTTTAGGCTGACAGCCTGAGGACAGAGCTGTTTTTATTTTTCTCAGATGCAGATCAAGGATAGCGCTTTGCTGCTGCGCTAGACGGTCCATTTCTAATTTAATGATGGAGCGTGAGGCTGCAAAGTCCCGCTAAATTAAACGGCTCAAACTTTTCCTGATGACACAGAGAAACTTAAATAGTCAGTGTATTTTGGTCTTTAGGGTGAGAAGTTGTCATGATGATTAATAAAAACCTTTACTGAGTTTTTTGAAGACAAGACAACAGAGACAATTAATGAAGTACTTCACTGCTCTTTCTTTTCATAAAAGTGGGCTGTCTATGCAGTAAAAAGACACACATACTTTTGAAAATTGGTGCTAAACAACCATAAAAAACACAGAAAAAGGGCTGTGGCTTTCACTTTTGTTCATGAGGTAGAAAATCCACAACTACCAGAATCCACTGCATCGCATGGGACGAATAAACGCTCCCACTGGTGGACAACGTAATGCGAGTTTCCTGTCCAGAAACAATATGGCGGCCAGCTGGTAACGAACAATTTTGTATTACAGTTAAACAGAAAGTTGAAATATGATCCTGAAACCATTTTAACTTTGCAGTAACAGAATCTTGGTTTGTATTTAATTAGCACTGCTTGGTTAAACTGTTTGATTTCAGTCTTTTCATCCTCTGTTTACACAGTACAGGAAACATTCACACACTCTCTTAACACAGCTAAACAGTGCACTAAAATACATTTCTGAGGACATTTTAGATGAGAAATAAGCAGTGGGGGGAGGGGGGCCCTTAGCTCACCTGGCAGAACAGGTATAAAATGTACAAACGGCCCTGACCTTGCCGCAGTGGCCGTGGGTTTGATTCTAACCTGCATCCTTTGCTTATTGCCGACCCCCCCTCTTTCCCTCTTTCAAGCGAACAACCATCCTATCAATTAAAGGCAAAAAAGCCCAGCAAATACCTTTAAAACAAACAAACAAACAAAAAAGGCATAAACACTACCACTGGTGGATGACGGAATGGGAGCTTCCTGTCCAGAAACAATATGGCAGCCGGCTGGTAACAAACAATTTTGTATAACAGTTAAACAGTCAGTTAAAATATGTCTCTGAAAACACTTTAGCAGAAAAATACTCGTCGCAGTAACAGAATCTTGGTTTGACAGCACTGCTTAGTTTTACTGCTTGATTTCAGTCTTCTGCGCCTCCGTTTACACAGTACAGGAAACAGTATGGCGCCCACTTCCTCCCAGAAACAGGCAGTGGGGGGTGCCCCTTAGCTCACCCTGTAGGGCATGCGCCCCATCAACAAAAGGCCTTGACCTTGTCGCAGCCCCCTGCTGCATGTCGTCCCCCCTCTCTTTCACTCCTTCACGCTAACAACTGTCCTCGACTAAAAGCCCCCCTCTCTTTCACTCCTTCACGCTAACAACTGTCCTCAACTAAAAGCAAAAAGGCCTAAAAAATATCAACCAAAAAAAGGAAACAGGCATAATCCCTCCCACTGGTGAGTGACGTAATTCGAGTTTCCAGTCTAGAAACAATATGGTGGCAGGCTGGTAACGAATGATTTAATATAACAGTTAAACAGTAGATTAAATATGTTTCTGAAAACATTTTAGCGGAACAGAACAGAATTTTTGGTTCATATTTGATCAGCACTGCTTAGCTTTACTATTTGACTTCAGTCTTTTTACAAAGTACAGGAAACAGTATGGCACCCACTTCCTGTTCATACACTCTCATGATACAGCTAAACAGTGCACTAAAATATGTTTCTGAAGACATTTTAGGTGAGAAATAGGAAATCTCGATCTGTTTCTATACTCGTGTCCTAATGCGACAGAACACTCTGTACTTTGAGCGACAGCGCTGGAGCCAGGGCAAATCCAATGGATGGTGTGTTTCGCATCATCCAGCGGATTGTAGCTGACAAATAAGCAGGGAGATCTGGTCGTTGGCAAGATGGAGGCAAGTTTACCACAGTTCTTAAACACATACTACCCACAGTGTTATAAAACAAAGCTGGTTGACAATCAGCAAAGTAACCCTTTAATGTAATTTCTAGGATATTTTAAAGTAAATTAGCCAATCTTTAGTTAATTTAAACTTTTTAAGAACATAAGGGTGTATTATTTTATTTACCCATGTTTACCAACAACTCCAGGCTGCAGACCTCGATCTAATAAGCTCTCATTTGAGCTGTTACTTTCACTGTCAACACGATAATGAGATTCCAGAGTATCATGACAGAGTTATTAATGTAACCGGGTGATGATCCTGGCGATAATTAAGACTGATGGAGGTGTTTAAGGAAATGTTATGAAGAATTTTGTTGCTGTTAGAGGCATGAATGTGTGCAGAAAATGTGTCAGTGCCATTTGACATGTGAGGCGGATGAAAAACTCAAAGTTTGGCTTGATGGTGGTGCTGAAAATCCTGCTTGTTACCATACTGGCATTTTTTAAACTTATAAAATTCATACTCTATTAACACATAATTTCAGTTAGAGGGCATACATGAAGGAAGAGACGGGAATAAAATGGAGATATATTTATATTAAACATAACATATATTTACTGTATGTTAAAATAGACATGGCTCCAAAAGCATACTTGTTTTAAGTTATAAAGTTCTAGTACCCTGAAACCAGTTACCTGGATATCAATTTCGATGTTGAAAGCCTCTGTCTGGCTGTGTCCGTCACTGATGTAGAAGCTGAAGACGTCCTGTTTGGCCTGAGCTTTCTGCTGGCTGTCCTGGACGTAGAAGATGTGGTCAGATGTCAGGTCCTCCACGGAGAAAGGCACTTCAGGGGTGATGACCCGCGAGCCGCCAACTGAGCCTCCTGGTGGTTGGAAGGATGGAGAGACAGGTATTAGAAATCTTAGAAAACAAAAAAAAGTTACCGTCTCTTTAACTGATCTCCAGTCCTTGACATTTCTGGGAACACATCTTTAGAAGCTCTGTCACTTTGTCACTGCTTTTTGTGAAACCGTCCATTCATGTGTATCCCAAGCTGTGACTTCACATTAAGGCAGCACTTTGTACACCGCAACATTTACCGTACTGTAACACAAGACTCATGTGCCTCTCAAGCGGCCGGTTATCGGGCCATCATTTCTATCATCTGACAGCTGGAATGACAGCGGAACTTGTCTCTTTTCCCCAAACAGCCTTTTTATTTCCCTTTAGTCAGAATTGCGTGGCAGTTTGGATGCAGGATGGATGCACCGAGGCATTTTTACAGTTCCCTTCGATCCTGTCACTTACGGCATTGAACGAGAGTCGGAGTAAAAATCGACCTTGAAATCTCTGAAGTTTGAGACAAAGCGTGAGCGTCCTCGCCACAGAAGATGGATGACTCCACGGTAAGCTGAGTCAGGGCTCTACAGGGAATAGCTGATTTTTGTGTTTGTGTGTGTGTGTTTCAGGCACAACAGTAAATCACATCACATCTCCATCATGTGGCTGATACAAGGTGAGGGAAGGGAGTCTCTTATCTGACCTCTGATATCTGATCAGGATGGGAAATTACTTGCAGCTGCCGGATAAATGCAGTTGGTTCTGTTCTCAAACATGTTATCGGCTTATTTTCGGAATGGAAATAGAGAAGCAACACAGCTGACATGTCTATCTCATGTTAAACAAGACTCATGAAAGCTGTGAAACTATGAATGACTAGACAGCAGGAAATTAGTTGTTCAGGGACATGACGCACAAAGTAACACAGATGGAAAGCATGCTGTATTACTCAAAATATTCTGTCATTTCATGGTGAAAAATATATTCACAATTCTAAATGTTTCCAAGACTTCACCTTTTAAGTTCACGGTTACTTTAAAGGAAAACTCCACTGAAAACCTGTTTCCCCTTTCCTGAGGAACTTCACTTTGGTCTCCAAATGAAATAAATGTGACAGTACACAAGATGCACAATGTGTTATTTATTATCTTACTATATAATGACGAAAACTCTGTCTGTGTGTCTGTTCCACGTTTTTCTCCTCACTGACTTGGTCAATCCATGTGAAATTTGGCACAGTGGTAGAGGGTCATGGGAGGATGCGAATGAAGCAATATTACATCAATTGGCCAAAGGGGGGCGCTATAGTAACCGATTGAAATGTCAAACTTTGAATGGGCATATCTCATGCCCCGTATGTGGTAGAGACATGAAACTTTGCACAGAGATGCCTCTCCTCATGAGGAACATATTTGCCTCAAGAACCCATAACTTCCGCTTATATAGATTTTCCGCCATTTTGAATTTTTTGAAAAACACTTCAAATGGATCTCTTCCTAGGAAGTTTGAGCGATCTGCATGAAACTGGGTGAACATAATCTAGGGACCAATATCTAAAGTTCCCTCTTGGCAAAAGTTGGAAAACTTACTAAAACTGAGCTTCTATAAGGCAATGAATATTGCGGAGGGCGTGGCTCATCACATAAAGGTGTATAACATCTCAAGGGTTTCACCCATCACCACGCAACTTTGTAGGCATATGACCACACATAATCTGAGGGGACCCCTCCATTATTGACCCCATCAAACAAAATGGGGGCGCTAGAGAGCTCATTTCTTATCTAGGCCTAACCGCCATATGGATTTTTACTAAACTTGGTAGATATGTAGAACAGGACGCCTCAAGGTGACTGGAGAAATGTAACTCTAATTGGCAACTGGGTGGCGCTATAACAACAGAAAAATGCTTCAAAATGGCTAAAATGCGACCGATCGCTGTGGCTCCCCCTGTGGACCAATGTTGTTTTCTAATTTTTGGTATGACTAAGTCATGGTATGGTATGCTGTACATAATCACAGAAACTGTCAATGTGTCATTCTGTCAGTCAGTCATTCTGTCTGTCCCACGTTTTTCTACTCACTGACGTGGTCAATCTATGTGAAACTGCACATAGGCATTGAGGACTGGCATAAGTAGAAGGTGACAAAGCTACCAATGGATATGGACTAGTGTTGAATTAAATAAATGAATGAATGAGTGATTGATCACAAAGCTGAGGTTGTTATACTGACGTGTTGCATGAAAGACAACGTCTCACCACACAACGGTTCACATGATAATCTTATGAATCAGCACCTGACAAATGTCACTGTCATGTTACGTGATCATGTGAAGTTACATATGTTGCGTAGGTTACGTATAGGCAAGTAAAGTTATGGAGGTTAGTTTTAGGACAACAAACAATGTACCTTAAAATAACTCAAAGTTTACTTGGTTTCACATGCTCCCAAACACTGGCCTCCTGTGTTTGGCCCATCCACCGTCCCAACCTGCCTCCTTACGCAGACGTGTTCACAGCCTTCCCAGTTACATGGGTTATACATGGTTTACTGGCTCATGATTACAGGGAAAAAACACTGTACTAACAAACACTGCTGTTTTTTTGAGCCCCAGTACTTGTGGGACACCAGAGGAAAGGCCAGAAGTTCGTGACAATCAGAACAGTTCATCCTCTGGTGAGCATGAATCAAATGAATTTACATCATAACATATCTTGAGTGTGTATTTGGCATTGCTAAATTCCATTTGACATTTTGGCTTGTGGGTGGTGCGTAAGAAAATCTTACAAAATGTCAAAAATGGAAAAGGGTCATTCTCTGGTGAGCATAAATATTTTCAGCAAACTACATGGCAACCCATTAAACTTTAATTCAGGTAGAACTGTTGGACTGGCAGTGAGGCCAGAGCCAGGTCAGGGTATTTTTTGTGAATTCTAAATTTTTTTGGGGGGGATGTTTCTCTTCATCCAACATACTGTAGCGACCAGTTAACAATGAAGCTACGAGGCATGAACTCATCTGCTGGCTTTTTACTCCTTCCCTCTAACACAGGTTACTGTGGGTCGTGACCAACGGCAAAACAACAACCTGTCTGCTTACAAAGTGTCTTCTGCATTAGCAGCTACTTAACAACTCTCGCTCCTAACTTCCACTTACACACACACACACACACACACACACACACACACACACACACACACACACTAGCAGGCATAACAACAACCCTCCTTAAACCTCTGCCAATCACAGGTGGGTAACTCACACAGGTCACTGCCACAGGTGCTAGTATTGACTGACAGGCTTCACAGACACACAACTCCGCTCGCTGATAGTGACACGTTCACTGACATTATGGAAAACTCAGCCATAACAGACCTTTTGCTGTACCAGAACACATTCCTAACAGTGACAGAATCCATACAGTCAACATCACATCACACTGTCCGTTACAATATGTTAGACAAACTTCAAATTTTAAATTGACTCATCCCATGGGGACTATGAATATCCACAGGAAATCTAGTCTGTTGGTATCAAGATGTCTCACTCTGGACTTAAGTAATGGGCTGTCTGATGGACTGACTAAACCGCTAAACTCAGTCTGAATTTTATTTTACAATATAAATATGCAGTTATATGTGTATACATATATGTTTGAGTTTTCCTGCACCGGCTATTAACATTACAATGCATAATATCAGAGAATGTCTTTAATGCGTCTCTGTATGTGTGCCTGTGTCTGCGCTAACCACACAAATGTAAATGTTTTGCTAGAAGCTGATTTGCATATAAATAAAGGATACGTATCTAGGTGTGTTTTCTCCTCTGTGTTTTGTTCTGTAATGTAGTCATGCAAATACAGAACATCAACATGTGGACGAATGCCTTTTGTGTTTCCGTGCATCTGCACATCAGCACAAGACCCGTCGATTTTGTTGAGGCAAACGGGCAACACATTGACGGTGACACCGGCTGGCCTCCCCTGTGCCCCGGTGACAGCAGCAATACAGTCACCTCACGCTGCCGACCGACCGGACTGAATACCAACGACCGTCCCTCTGCTCCAGCAGCCATCAAGGACATGGAGGGAGACACTGGAGCCAGCTGTTTATGTACTGCAGCAAATATAAATATCTGACTCAATCCATGTACCCTTCATGACATCCTCCATTCTTCTTGCATGTTACATGGCAGAGCCTACTTTGAATTACCACACCTTCACATCTGTTCTTAGAAGTGAGACGTGCTGCTTCACATATCATCTGTGGTTATTTTCTGCTGTTGCTTAAAAGCTGAAGGTAAAAATGTTGCTCGCAAACAGTAAACAATACATTCAATGTTTTTCTTTTCAATGGTGTGCATGAAATTTCATTCTTGACCTTGTGAAATGTTCGAGTAACTTCAGACTAAATGGTGGTGTGTGTGCATTTTCTTTTTTATTTGAAGTCGTGCATGTTCAAGGTAAAACACGGTGTTAACTTGCTCTTCAATTTCATATCCACTTACTAACTTCCTCCAAGGCTTTCAACTGCATATCACAGCTGTCATTGGCTGCGTTCGCACAGTTGCCGTGGAGTTGGTTTAGTAATCATCACGTGACCTGGATATATAATGTCCTTCAGGTGATAATATCAGTCAGACTCCCTTATGTAGACTGGCTGCAAGTTCCATACTTGAGGTCATGTGATGAAATGACCACTGAGAGAAGCTGTTGAAAGCTTGAGAGAAAAGCCAGCAAGTGAACCTCGAGTTAAGATGTTTTTGAAAAGGTTTTATGTTGTTTTTGTTATTTAGTGTTATGCTTCTCTAAAGTTGGGGGACTTACAAGAGAGAGATAAAAAAAAATGAAGCAGCAGAGCTTGAGATATACTGATTTTTATGGGGTTTTCCATTAGCACTTGTGGCCCCGCTGAGTCAAACCATGCCGTTTCGATTTTCATTTCCTTTGTCAGTTTAAACATGCTGCTCTGCGGCATCCCAAGATGGACTGTCTTCGGTGTCAATCCAAAAGCATGCCCGACCGCCTCCAAGCAGGTAGTGGAAATATCTTGCCGACCCCAGCCAACCCCTCATCTACCCCTGAAATAAGTGTGTGTGCTGTGTGACTCAACTTATTTCTGTCTATGCAGGGTACCAGAGAGAAAAGCATTTTTAAATTTTCTGCATGTCCATCTTTCAGGACTTTTGTAGGAGTTTAGTTTCTCTCCTGCGTCCTGTTTTTAATCTAGATATCTGCTTTATTTAATGATCTCATGTTCACTTTCAGTTGTATGGGAGTTGTGTTAAATTACTGCTTATGAAAACGCATCATTTCCTTATTTTGCTGCTTCACAATAAAAGCTTTAACATTACAAAATAATGGGGAACTTTTATTTTGAAGAATCTGTAAGACATGAAACGTGTTTATCACCGAATTAGCTAAACATTATTAGCGGCTTCTTTTCAATAAAATCAAGTCTAATAATACAGCAGGGAGGAAGAGTACAAGCAGAAACAGCCACAGTGAGATGTCCATGAAGAGCTGCAGACAACAGGCTCTTACTGCACCTCTGCAAACAGCTCACCTCTAACAGGTAAACTTCATTTACCTGCCATACCGTGGAACCTTTAGCTGTGAAAAAGTCTTCTGCTTTTAAACATCAACACTCAAGATAAGCTATCATCAGTTAAAGACACACCTTGAAGCGGGTAGTCCTGTTTTAATGCAGAAGCAAATCCCTGCAGCACTGGGCTGACGTGCCGAGTCAAACCAAGTCAAGTCAAGCTAGCACATGAGTGTGGAAAAACAATATTAGTCTCAAGTAAAGGTCAAACCCCAATCGCAATGGATCCTACATTTCCCATGATGCAAATCAAAAGCATCTTTTGTTAGACCCTCCTTGACCCAATGAACTTGTGGGGAGAGCCCCTTTAATGCAAAAACATCTTCTGAACTTTTGAGTGTCATTTTGAGACAATATTTTGTTGTGATCTTCACATACTAAAAACGTGGCTGGTTAATAGTGCAGATGTACAGCCTGCATGTAGCCCATATGGGTGACCATACTATATATGTGAATCCTTAAACTCTAAACAATAATCAAAATGATAGATGGTTTTATTTGCCATTTCTCTCCACATCCAAGTGTTTTATTTGATCTCTGATTTCCAGTCTGCTCTCACAATGATACATGTTCCCAGAGGGGATCAGTTCCTTTTCAACTCATGTCACCTCTTTCATTTTTCCAAACAGTTCCTCTGAGGGACAGAAGAAAAGTACAGCGGTGGTTGAGCGAGCATGCAGTCAGAATTGGGCCTTCAACAATGGCTCCATCTGTAGCCGACTATCTGGCAGTGCTAACCCACAACATAATCAAGCTGTGACAGATGGCAGCGGCACTGCAGGGAATTCAGTGCAGGATTGTGTGCATACAAGTGTGACATCAATAGAAATGTGAAAATTATTCGGGGTGATGCAGGTGTGACTGTGTACATGCACACAGAAGTAGCAGTGTGTCACGTGCTCATGTGTGTACAGTATGTTTAGTTCATGTTCTAATTTGAAACCTTACACAAGCCTCATAAGGAAGGAAAGAAAACACTGTCCATACTCTAAACCTCACAATGCTGACAGACACAAACACAAAGTCTCACCTCTGTTGGTGTTTTCAATGAAGCCGTACTTTGGAGGACTGACAAGCCAAATCAGCAGGTCCTTCCTGGGCGTGTCCAGGTCTGACACGATGATGTGATTAGTAGATAGCTGCACTCGGCCGCCTTCCTGGACCTAAACAACAAAATACTAAAATAAGTCCTGATGTCTTTTTCCTCTGCAGATCATTTGTCACATTGACATGTTGTTGACAGTGTGGGGTTGATTTATCACAAAGAAGTAAAGGTGAGAATCTAAATAGCCAGACTGTTGGATATAAGAAAACATGTTAGGCCTCTTATTTCCCCCACCTCATCAGAAGAAAGAGTCCAAACTAACAATTGTTAATGTTTTTTTCTTTTACACATTAGATGGTTTTAACTGTAATAGGACCACAGCAAACTTAGTTCTGCTCAAAATTAGTGTTAGGGAGTGATCAGAGAAGATGCAGCACAGCCAGGCTGCACTAAATTAAAGGTGTTTACAACAAGAATAGGCAATGAAATTAGGGGTCCAACAGCTGAATAAATACCCAGACGCAACCAGAGCCAGGATTCAGTTAAAAGATTTTTGCTCACATGTTTCAATGACTGCTTGCAAGAACTGTATCTGTTGGTTACTATACACATCTTCTAGAGATGCACGATAATGTCGGCACGTCACTGGTGTCAGCTGATATCGGCTATCAAAGGAACGATCAGAACTGGCCAACATGCTTTTTCTTATTTTGCACAATTAATGATTACATACCCTGAAAAGCATTGTATTTCAGCCCGGTGGTACAGTGGTTAGCATTAGGCCCGTTTCCACTGAAGAAGTTCCTGGTACTATATGGGGCGCAGGAACTTTACCGGAACGTCCTCTCGCTCGGCCCTCTCAACCGCCGTGTCTCCACTGAGAGAGCGGAGTAGGAGGAAAGTTCCTGTAAAGTTACCGGGCTCTGGATGTGATGTAATCGTTCTGCGACCATTTTGACCGGGGCGACGCGGCAAAGAAACAAACAAAGAAGAACAACAAAGAAGAAGAAGCAGAAGTACGAAGCAGAAGTAAAAAGGGTTTCTGGCGTGTCTCTTTCTTGCTTTTCTTCTTACAACTCCTTTTAAAAATGCGACTCCTCATCTGCTGAGCACCCCGGCAGTGCCCAGGAGGTGAACTGGCACCTATCCAGCCACCTCTCCGCATTTGGTCCGGACGGGGACTTGAACCAGCAACCCTCTGGTTCCCAACCCAAGTCCCTATGGACTGAACTACTGTAAAAGTTCTGGAACTCTTTCCTTCGGGGGTGGTTCCTGTGGTGGAGACACGTACCAACGGCCCCGGCCCCGTAAAATTTCCCCTAAGTTCCTGCGGTGGAAACGGGCCTATTGTCACCTCACAGCAAGAGGGTTCCTGGTTCAAACCCAGGCTGGGGGAGCCTTTTTCTCTGTGGAGTTCGTGTTAGCGTGGGTTTCCTCCAGGTGCTCCAGCTTCCTCACACAGTCCAAAGACATGCAGGTTAATTGGTGACTCTAAATTGTCCGTAGGTGTGAATGTGAGTGTGAATGGTTGTCTGTCTCTATGTGTCAGCCCTGTGATAGTCTGGTGACCTGTCCAGAGTGAACTCTGCCTCTCACCCAGTGTCAGCTGGGATAGGCTCCAGCCCCCGTGACCCCTAACTGGATAAGCGGTTACGGAGTGTGTGTATGCTGGTGGGCCATCATGATAAGAGTATGCATGTATAGTATGATGTTAATTCCACTACAGAATTGGTCGGCCATTGGTCAAATAAGTTGTTACATACTGGTATATATAACTAATTTCTTCCCATCTCATACAATAACGCCAACTCCCATTTCCACTCCAGATTTTTATCTGATTAGAGTTCATTTATTCATTTCAGAATCATCAGAATATCTCAACTCCTGACTTTACTGCTAAGATGTTAGTTCTGATCATGATCTTGGCTTTTCTTTTTTATTCATTCATTAAATGTCCTTAACCGCTTATCCTTTTAGGGGTCCCAGACCAGAGCATGTGAGTGGAGCGGAGCGGGAAGTGGAAGGATTTTTTGTTGAGCGAGGTAAAAAAGGTGGAGCGGAGCCTTATCTCTCTATACATCTTTGCACCTGCTCACACCCACACTATTTTCTTTCAAAACTATGGAGTTTACTGTGTACTTCAGAAAAGAAACTGAGAAGAGAAGCAGCGGTACCGTGGAGAACGGCCCCTAACTGCGGGGAGAGGGGAGAAGGCTTCCCCGGAGAATCTACCAAGCTCATGTTTTATTTGTGAATAGAAGATTACAGGTTACGGTAGTACGACGCAGTTTTTTTGAGCGGAGTGGTGAGCGAGTGGAGCGGGATAAAATTTATGATGGAGTGGACCGGAGTGGAGCGAAGAATGCGCAGAACGTGCGGACGAGCGGTGCAAAGTGACAGGTGTGCGAGCGAGGAGCGGAAATTTTCACCCGGTCCGCTCCGCTCACATGCTCTGTCCTGGACAGGTCACCAGACTATCACAGGGCTGACACATAGAGACAGACAACCATTCACACTCACATTCACACCTACGGACAATTTAGAGTCACCAATTAACCTGCATGTCTTTGGACTGTGGGAGGAAGCTGGAGCACCTGGAGGAAACCCACGCTGACACAGGGAGAGCATGCAAATTCCACACAGAAGGGCTCCCCCACCCTGGGGTTTGAACCCTTCACCCCATGAACCCTCTTGCTGTGAGGTGACAATGCTAACCACTGCATAACCATGGCGCCCTGGTGACCCTGATTTGATTTGAACAAGCAACCTTCTGAGAGGAGGTCGTTTTGGCTGTACAAAAATGATAAAACATACAATTTTGAGACTTCATTCTGAATCCTAAGAGGAAGTTAGTGAGGCCAAGAAAGTTGGCAAATGATTAAGTGCTGCTAGAGGTTTGTTCTCTGGGAGTTGCTTCCACCTATATAATGTTCCTTTCAGTGTCACAAAACAAATAATATTGTAACCACTGGAGAAGTTCCACTTTGTGCTCTTGTTGTAAGATTGTTCTTACATAAAAGAAAAGTCTCCCAGCTAACTAAAGCAGATGTTTTAAAGTAGAAAATTTACTTTATATCTCCCAGGAGGGGCGGTTCTGCAGTGCTAATACAGTATTCATCCCTGAGGGAGGCTCTGCAGTGTGAACCAGTGTAACCCTCATTAGCTCTGACATCATCTTTACCCTCCTCCACCATGTGCCCTACACAGCTCTCTCAGAGTGTGATCTTGTGCTCCCTCCAAGACATATTTCACATTCTTTAACTGCCCAAAGAAAAGAAGACAATGATGGAGGAGAGATAAGTTAGTGGGAGTAGTTAACTGAAGCATCTGATGGATATTTGATGACCGAGAGGGAGAGGGGAGTCCCAGTATTTAGCTAAGAGTAACAGTTGTGTGATGTATCAAACAGACAGTCCATCTTAGACTATGAGGATGCTTTTCTGTGATCACTTTCTTTTAAGATGCTCTCTCCCTGATAAAAAAAAGAGAGAATGCAAACCCTTAAGCACAGAGATATTGGAGGAACTACACTGCTCATCTTCACAGTTTAACACCATGTCAGTTAAACTTCAGGGATATCAATGTGTCCATTTAGGAAGCACAAGTGATTGTGAATCAGTTTCAGCTGCTTTGGTGCAAATCAAAGTGACAACAGGTGCAATGGAGAGGCAAAAGCAAGACAACCCCCAAAAAGGGAGGTTTTACAGACAGTTGCTCTCTAGTTTGGTCTTCTGCTAGTGTCCTTGTCACTACTGGTAGCATGAGGCGGTACCTGCAGCCCAGTCAGGCTGCACAGGTAGTCCAGCTCCTCCAGGATGAAACATTTGGTCGCAATCAGCTGGACAGGGCCACAGAAGAGCATCAACCCAGCAGCAGGACCAGTATCTCTTTGTGTGAGGAGGAACAGGAGGAGCACTGCCAGAGCCCTACAACATGACCTCCAGCAGGCTGCTGGTGTGCATGTTTCTGACCACACTGTCAGAAACAGACTCCATGAAGGTGGCATGAGGCCCCACGTCCTCTAGTGGGACCTGTGCTCACAGCCCAGCACCGTGCAGCTCGACTGGAATTCACCAGAGAACACCAGAATTGCTAGGTCCGCCAGCGGGGCATTGGGAGGAGACCCCCAGGACACCATCCGCCGACTCATCAGGAGCATGTCCAGATGTTGTCGGGTATGCGTACAAACACGGGGAGGCCGTACACACTACTGAGTCACATAAAAAAAACATAAAAAACACACACATAAAAAAATTCACACAAGTTGGATCAGCCTGTGATTTCTTTTTTTTTTTACTTCAAATATCGGTGTGATTATGAAACCAGCTCTCAGTGGGATGATGAATTTGGATTCCACTGACTGCTGTTACGTCATTTTGTTCTCAACAAATTATACAATGTACTTTAGTAAAGATTTTTAACTTGAATAATTCGTTCATCAAGATCTGATGTGTGATTTAAGTGTTCCCTTAATTTTTTTGAGCAGTGTATTTGGGCCATTTACTTATCACCACCAGATTGTAAAAAAAAAAAGTAAGAGTTTGTACTTAAAATAAACTTTAAAACATTATATATGAAAGTACTCAACGCATAAAAATATCCTCTGTGACAGAATTGGTGTGACATTGACGCAGAGCCCGAAGTGACACCTTCACAATGTTTGTTTTGTTCAACTAAGACTGTAAACCACAATAATACAACTTATAAATTTCAATTATTACTATTATTAAAAGGAAAAGTGGCAAATCTTTGCATTTAAGAAGCTGGAGTCATGAAATATTTTATATGAAAAATGACTTAAATAAAAATTTTGTGTCAAACAACTAATTGAAAAATCAACGAACCATTTCCTCTGCACTGGTATAAACTCTTGGGTAGTTTAATTTAGTGCGAAATATCATATTTTATGAGCTCTTTGTATGTTTTGTGTGCAAAAATATTAATTTGTAAAGTACCTAAAGCTGTCAGATAAATATAGTGGAGCAAAAAGTACAATATTCACCTCTGAAATGTAGAGTAGAAGTAGAAAGTGACATGAAAAGGCTCAAGTATTAGGGCCACAAATTTGTACTTAAGTATAGCTCTTGAATAACATTTCACCACTCTCAGTAGCAGGGTTGGTCTGAGGCTTTCTGAGGGACAGTGTGTGACAGTGTGCGATGGTTTCCTCTGCTTCATTTGTCTCGTTAATGACTGTTTCTGAATCCTGCAGCTGCTTAAAAAAAAAAAAAAAAACTCTAAAGAGTGTTTGAGGATTTCAGTCTCTTATGAGCAGGCAGGGTAATGGAGAGGAAATAACAGTGTGCAGTTTGTGTGTACAAGACTGTTTGTGTACTGTATCATCCATAAAATTGTAATCTTTTATATATTAGGATCATTTTAGAATTGGGCCTGTGTGTGTGTGAGTGTAGCCTTGTTCTGCTCATGTGTGTGTACACTGTATATAAGTGTGTGACTACCTTGATGCCGCTGCGGACTGTGACCACCGGCGGCTGTCTGGGCGTGGAGGTGATGGTGATGGTGCACATCTGGTTGTCAAGGCGATTGTTGTCTCCGTCATACACAACAAAGTGGAAGATGTCTGTGACCGGCTGGCTGCCCGTCTCTAAGGAAGTGATGTACCTGGCGATGGAGAGGTTTGATAACAGAATCATTGACATTAATTGCATGTTGTTTAATAACTAATTTGTTTGATACAATAACTGTGTTTTAATGAATACATAAATATCTGTTTATGTGTCTAATCCTGGCCTGATAAGAGGACTTGGGAAAGCTTTGCATTAGCCCTCCCAAAGCGATGCAGCTGCTAATCTCTGCGAAGCTCAAATAAAATTGAAATCCATACCAGCATACTCTCCTCTAATCCCATTTAATTCTCATAAAACAATTCCCGGCTCTTGTTTGTACGAGCCAGCACCGCAGAGACAAAACTAATACAGGCGATTTGAAGATTGCCCCCCGAGGATCGTCCTGCGCTAAAGCTAATCAGGGCCTGCATTATGGAAATGAAGCAGTTAGCATGTGAATATTTATATTTCATCTTAGCGCTCCTCATGTGGGGCCTCAGTACCTCTTGCAGGTAATATCAGAGTGATGCTAATTGGCATTGCTTATGCCAACAGGCTGAGTCACTGAATGTAATGTGGAGGAAGGATACTAAATGATTCCCTGCTAATTCATTTGTTTTCTTACTGGGTTTCGGTAATATTTGTAGAGCTCTTGTCTCGTAAGGAGAAATGTTAGATTGAAGGAAAACAAAATGTCTCTGTGAGCTATTACAACTTCCTCCTCTGCTGTGACGCTGAGGGGGAAACGATCCCCACCGACTCAGGCTGCAATCAGAGAAATTGATCACAACTACGACTGCAGCCAGAAGAACCATCGAAGCCCTTTTTTTATCTCTTACGGAGAGGAATCAACACCAGACTTATTCCTTTAAAAGAGCCTCTTTATTAGAGGCCCACACATCTTGTCAAAAACATATCACTCTTTTCTGCTCTTCACTTAAATCTAAGTGGTTTCCATGTTTTATATTTTGTTGAAGGATTCTACACTCCTCTGAAAAACTTTTTAAAACTCAATATGTCTGCAGGTCAGGGTGATAATAAAGTCCCAAAACAAACTGGGAACCACATTCACGGTTGCTGAAAAGTTGTCATCATGAGGGAGCTGTTAACAGAACTCTGAGCATCTTTTTTTCTTACTGAAGGACTAAAAAAGGTGCTAATTCACTCTCCTCTCTCCCATGGACCCTCATGAACCTTTATTGCTTATACAACGACTGCTTCTGGAAACGACTGAGGGTTTTTGAAAGTCATTTTTGGTTAATAGCTTCAGGTTTTATGCTGATATTCTGCTTTTACAAGCCTCTGAAGTAGCATTTAAACCATCATGGGAAACTAAAACCCTGCACTGAAACCAAGGATATTCTTCTGGGCACTTTTCATTGCAAGTTTTTAGAGACTCTCGCCTTTGAAGCTGAGTGAAATATTTCCAGATCACATCAGAATTATTTCTCTTGTCAACTAAAAAAGAGGAAAATTTACGAAGAGAGTATTAAGAAAAGCCAAAATAGAGCAAAACATCAGGCTGACATTGGTGGAAATCAGAAAATGTTCCTGGGGTCATATTTGGTTTTGATATGAAGCACTTCTCAGGTTTGTATGAATTCATTCTGCATCGTCAATGTACCAACAGACTGTCTGTTGTCCCTCCTACCTGATCCTGTGCTTGTTGATGTCCTCCATGGAGAAGGAGGAGTACTCTCTCAGCTCCTGGTGCTCCTGCTGGGACTGGCTCCGGGTCAGGATGCCGTACATCGGCACAGACACCAACTGGATCTGAATCTGGTCGTCTGGGGACGTGTCGTCCTGCGAGAGACAAAACACTGTCACTGTGGTACTGATGTGCCTTTGCCCCACATGTTGAGGAACACAAGTTCTACAGCCTTAAAACTTTTTACTGTGATCCCAAATTTATCTTCTCACGGAGAAATAACAAATACATTAGATAAGAACAACAGTCTGCAGCTGGACAGTAAACAAGACAAACCTTAAAATAACAGCTGCCTCTTTTTCAGGGTTTGAAATTTTAATGGAGAAGGAAAACACTAATTGCCAATAACAGCTCACTGCCTGATTTATATGTTAATATTATACTGCTAATGTAAAACGCATTTGCAGATGCTCCAGGTTAAGCAATATATAAGGTATAATGTAGTTAAATGGTATATATTTTACATTTCAGAGTGCTAAGCGCACACACAGGCTTTGCTTTGCTTCCTGCTAAAAGAAAGTGACTTATATTACATATAAAATGAGAAATGTGTTGTTGTTGTTTTTTAATATTATGGAAAAACATTCTGAAAGCAATTACATATAATCTGATATATTTAGGACACATACTTATATTTTTCTTTGTCAAAGACATTCAGTGCTGTCTAATGCTAATCTTGCATTCACTAGCATTTTCTCCAAAATAAAACCTGACATACTGTTGTAACTTTCTACGAAAAGAAATGTAAAGACTATGAATAAGATATTTTTGAACGAAAAGAAAACTCTACATTTATAGCTGTCATCGATTTCCGTTCACTCACAGTGTAAGCCAGGTGCGAGCGCCTGATCACAGTGCTGCTCTTCTCGCCCACTTCCAGTGACAGAGTGGCTGCTGGGTCCCGTTGCGGCCCGTCGCCCCCGGCGCCCAGCACTGCCACCTGCACCACTGTGGTCGCCATGGAGATGCCGTCGCTAACGGAGAAGGTGATGCCGTCGTCCTGGGTGTTGAGGCCGGCGTGTCGGTAGAGCAGAACGTTGCGTGTGATGTCGCTGAAGGTGAAGGTGTCACCTGAAGGAATGGAGAAGGTGTGAGCTGAGGTGTGTGTGCTTGTGTGTCTCCAGTTTGACTGTTGGCTAGATTCCCTGTTTGTTATTCTGCATAACTACTAAGTTTTCTGTGTGATTACTAAATTTTCTGAGTGACTACTAAGTTTTTAGTGTGACAATAGTTTTATGAGTGACTACTAAGTTTTTAGTGTGACTACTGAATTTTCTGTATAACTACTGACTTTTCTGTGTGACTATTGAGTTTTCTGAGTGACTACTAAATATTCTGTGTGACTGCTGACTTTTCTGTGTGACTACGGAGTTTTTTTGTGTGACAATAGTTTTCTGAGTGACTACTAAGTTTTAGTGTGACTATTGAATTTTCTGTGTGACTACTGAGTTTTTTGTGTGACAACAGTTTTCTGAGTGACTACTAAGTTTTTAGTGTGACTACTGACTTTCCTGTGTGACTATGGAGTTTTCTGAGCGACTACTAAATATTCTGTGTGACAACTCAGTTTCGAGTGTGACTACTGAATTTTCTGTATAACTACTGACTTTTCTGTGTGACTATTGAGTTTTCTGAGTGACTACTAAATATTCTGTGTGACTGCTGACTTTTCTGTGTGACTACGGAGTTTTTTTGTGTGACAATAGTTTTCTGAGTGACTACTAAGTTTTAGTGTGACTATTGAATTTTCTGTGTGACTACTGAGTTTTTTGTGTGACAACAGTTTTCTGAGTGACTACTAAGTTTTTAGTGTGACTACTGACTTTCCTGTGTGACTATGGAGTTTTCTGAGCGACTACTAAATATTCTGTGTGACAACTCAGTTTCGAGTGTGACTACTGAATTTTCTGAGTGACTACTGAGTTTCGAGTGTGACTAGCTACTGAATTTTCTGTGTGACTACTGAGTTTCGAGTGTGACTAGCTACTGAATTTTCTGTGTGACTACTGAGTTTCGAGTGTGACTACTGACTTTTCTGTGTGACTACTAAGTTTTCTGTATGTCTTCCAATTTGTCTGTGTGACGATTGCATTTTTTGTGTAACTACTAAGTTTTCCATGTTACTGCTAAGTTTTCTGAGAACAACTCAGTGTGTTCATCAGTCTGTGAGTCAAGATTTTATAGGGATGGACAACTTCATAACTACAAAATAAGCACAAGTTTTATGCGTGAATAAGGACAAAACCCTGAGAGTAACCGATGTTTAGAGGCCCAAAAGAATCTTCCATAAATCTGAGCCTTCCAAGCTGCTTGCTGTCATTTTGCACACCTTACAGTTAAACTCCAACTATGAGTATTATATCTTCAGTAATAAAAATACGTTGACCTACAGTACAGGCCAAAAGTTTGGACACACCTCATTCAATGCGTTTTCTTTATTTTCATGACTATTTACATTGTAGATTCTCACTGAAGGCATCAAAACTATGAATGAACACATGTGGAGTTATGTACTTAACAAAAAAAGGTGAAATAACTGAAAACATGTTTTATATTCTAGTTTCTTCAAAATAGCCACCCTTTGCTCTGATTACTGCTTTGCACACTCTTGGCATTCTCTCCATGAGCTTCAAGAGGTAGTCACCTGAAATGGTTTTCCAACAGTCTTGAAGGAGTTCCCAGAGGTGTTTAGCACTTGTTGGCCCCTTTGCCTTCACTCTGCGGTCCAGCTCACCCCAAACCATCTGGATTGGGTTCAGGTCCGGTGACTGTGGAGGCCAGGTCATCTGCCGCAGCACTCCATCACTCTCCTTCTTGGTCAAATAGCCCTTACACAGCCTGGAGGTGTGTTTGGGGTCATTGTCCTGTTGAAAAATAAATGATCGTCCAACTAAACGCAAACCGGATGGGATGGCATGTCGCTGCAGGATGCTGTGGTAGCCATGCTGGTTCAGTGTGCCTTCAATTTTGAATAAATCCCCAACAGTGTCACCAGCAAAACACCCCCACACCATCACGCCTCCTCCTCCATGCTTCACAGTGGGAACCAGGCATGTGGAATCCATCCGTTCGCCTTTTCTGCGTCTCACAAAGACACGGCGGTTGGAACCGAAGATCTCAAATTTGGACTCATCAGACCAAAGCACAGATTTCCACTGGTCTAATGTCCATTCCTTGTGTTTCTTGGCCCAAACAAATCTCTTCTGCTTGTTGCCTCTCCTTAGCAGTGGTTTCCTAGCAGCTATTTGACCATGAAGGCCTGATTCGCGCAGTCTTCTCTTAACAGTTGTTCTAGAGATGGGTCTGCTGCTAGAACTCTGTGTGGCATTCATCTGGTCTCTGATCTGAGCTGCTGTTAACTTGCGATTTCTGAGGCTGGTGACTCGGATGAACTTATCCTCAGAAGCAGAGGTGACTCTTGGTCTTCCTTTCCTGGGTCGGTCCTCATGTGTGCCAGTTTCGTTGTAGCGCTTGATGGTTTTTGCGACTCCACTTGGGGACACATTTAAAGTTTTTGCAATTTTCCGGACTGACTGACCTTCATTTCTTAAAGTAATGATGGCCACTGGTTTTTCTTTAGTTAGCTGATTGGTTCTTGCCATAATATGAATTTTAACAATTGTCCAATAGGGCTGTCGGCTGTGTATTAACCTGACTTCTGCACAACACAACTGATGGTCCCAACCCCATTGATAAAGCAAGAAATTCCACTAATTAACCCTGATAAGGCACACCTGTGAAGTGGAAACCATTTCAGGTGACTACCTCTTGAAGCTCATGGAGAGAATGCCAAGAGTGTGCAAAGCAGTAATCAGAGCAAAGGGTGGCTATTTTGAAGAAACTAGAATATAAAACATGTTTTCAGTTATTTCACCTTTTTTTGTTAAGTACATAACTCCACATGTGTTCATTCATAGTTTTGATGCCTTCAGTGAGAATCTACAATGTAAATAGTCATGAAAATAAAGAAAACGCATTGAATGAGAAGGTGTGTCCAAACTTTTGGCCTGTACTGTATATAACATCATGATGTGGGCGTGTGCTGTTGATATGCAATTGCATTTTGAATTATTTGCAGATTTAAGAAGATGTGATGAGCTCTGCTACACTGCTTCATCTATTCAGTGGACCTCCACTAAATGAGCTATAAATGAATGATGTGAAAATGTAGTGAATAAATAGATCGTTGAGGAAATATTGAGCTATTAACAACGTGTAAGTGGGCAGGTTTTAAAAAGAGGAAGATGTAGATGAGCATCCTTGTCTGACATTGCTGAATGAAGTTCAGACAGTGGAGGAGAAAGCAGCAAGAGGAGGTAGATACATATAAACAAACCAATCTGTTTGTTGTTGTAAGAGTACCACAATAATCTGTGAATGTTGCCACTCGTACAGCATGTTTATTTGCATCACACGGAGCTAGTAGTAATTAAAGGTTTTGTGTTTTCTAAAACAAACAGAATCATAAACCTTTAACATCCTTAAATGGTCAAAATCTACCAGAACAGCTGGAGGAAATAGTGACAGCAGATTCCTGACATTTGCCTACTTGTTACGTGGTCAGTCAGTAGCTGTGACATTACCAACTTTCCATTTGTCTGTATGTGTCTATCATCTCACCATTGGTCATGCTGGTGTGTGTGCTTCCATCGGTCTTAATCAGCTCTCCATGGACGGGAGCCTCCACCAGCTCAAACTCCAGCTCATCTGGAGCTGTGTCAGCGTCGCTCACTGCCAGCTGCTGACCGCCTACACACACACACACACACACACACACACACACACACACAAAGCAAGAGGAAAGAAGTGTTAAGAGAGATGAAGCAAGAAAAGGAGAAAATTAACTATCTGTACCAGACTGTAAACACACACACACACACACACACACACACACACACACACGGCTCTTTCTTCAGTATTGTTGCTCACCAGGGTCGTACTTCAGAGCTCATTACCTCACACAGACCACTTCATCACTTACTGGACCTCTTCACCACAAGGCTGTCTTCTCGAAAATGTGTATTTGTGTGTGTGTTTTCTCTTACCTATGGTGGCCTGTCCTCCCAGGCTGACCTCCAGCAGGGGGTCCAGAACCTGAAACACCGGCGGCTGCTGATGGTTGGACAGCAGCAGGACGGCAAAGTCCAGCTCAGGAGTGGTGTGTTCACCGTCTGACACTGAAACACAGATACAGGACAAAGGAAACAATGAGAGCGAACACACAAAACAGAGAAACACACACACACGCACACAAAGAAAAATAAGGGAATTAATCAGATAAGCAAAGACTTACCAAAACACACACACACACACACCTCTGATGCTAATTATCTCCCCAGCTCCTTGACTCAAGGAGCTGGGGAAAAAACCTAATCAGCTTCCTTGAGACCACTCACTTAACACAACATTGTTAATAAGAGAAATAACAAAAAATACAATTGCAGAAGCTGTGATTAAAATATCTCCATGAATCAATTAAGCAAACTGCTGAAACAATTTATCAGGGATTCAGGTGGAAACTCGTTACACTCATTAAATGCTTTTCTGCTTTAGTGACTCCACTTGTCCCTTCTACACATGATCTAAAAAACAAAACAAAACCAGACAAACAAAACAAAATAACATAAAAAAGAACAACTAACCAAGACATTACAATAAGCCAATTATCACATATAGAAAGATGTGATTTATTAGCTAATTTTTCAAACGTTTGTGCATTGTCCTGATTTCTTGTGGTGAAAAATTAAAAAGTTTGGTTCAGAAAAGGAAATTAAAGAGTTTAAAAATATTTTCTTTTCTTTTTGAATAAATATTAACAGAAGTGTGTCTTAACAGCGAAATGTGGATTTTCACTGTGATGCTTATTATAGAAAAATTACTTTTGAGAGACAAAGTCGAAAGGTTGTGGAGAGCAAGAAAAATTAAGGTTTAAAGCATCATTTCGAAGCCCTGAGCTAATGCTGGCACGGTGGGATTTTGTTTTCAGGTTGCTCAAACGTACGTCTCGTTCTCAAGGACACATTGAGGGAACTGGTCCAAGTATAGTTAACTAGTTTAACTCAGCATAAATAAACACTGCACAGGATGTATAGGCAAAATTTTGATCTGCACAGTAACCATCAGTGGCCATTTGTGTAGTGGGGCTGCAGCTAATGAGTTTTGCATTAATGTCACTTAATCTTTCACTTGCTTTTTTAAAGAATCAGTTAATAGTTTGGTCCACGAAATGTAAGAAAACTAACTAACATGTTATGCTTTTCATTTCTTTCTTTCTGTCTGCCTATTTGCACGCTCATGTATTTTTGTTCTGTCCATTACATTTCCCAGAGCTCAAAGTGGACCAGCAGGCCAATACTAAAAAATAATACATTTTAATGTGATAGCAAGGAGAAGCAGCAAATTCTTTCATTTAAGAAACTAGAGAATGTTTGGCATCTTTTCTTAAGAACTGACTTTACTTAATAATTTAAATGGTCAGCCAATCAGCTGACAGATTATTTCAGTACAACATTCCCCTCTGAGATGTGGAGTTGAAATATAACCTTACACAAACTGTAAATACTCAAGTTAAGTACAAGTACCTCAGAAGGACTCGGATAACTGAGCAATGAGTAATTGACTGTTGTTGCACTTTCTACTGGCCGCGAACAAAAGCCATCTTTAGTTTCCTCTTAACGACAGAAGTGAAGCAGGATGGATGGAGGATAAAAGCATCAGAGACTACCACGCTCATGTGTGTGTGTGTGTGTGTGTGTGTGTGTGTGTGTGTGTGTGTGTGTGTATGTGCCTCAAGGCCTACACTAAAGCGAAAAGCACTTTGGTGACTTCTCTGAACACCCGTAAACACTCATTTCCCAGCTTCTGTTGAGGATTGAGGCAGAGTGCAGTGGCACTTTATGACACGTAAGATAAACAGAGGAGACTCGGTCTAATCCATAGACTGTATATAAAGATGGACAACACATCTCCATTTATCCCCACTGTTTCAAAAATGAGGCCAAAATATCCCAGGTATGGCCAGGGACATTTTAAAGCCCCTACAAGGAACTTTCATTTTGAGTTGATTTTGGCGACCCTGTGGACAAAAGCGGTAGTGTTTTGCCGGAATGAAGCCTACATTTCCCATGAGCTCTAGTGCATGTTGTCATAAAGACGCTTACCTGGCTCGCGCATGTGTTTGTTTTGGGGATGAATGAAACAACAAGATGGGAAAACTTTGCCCCCGCTCCTATCGGGGATCCCAGCTCACCTCTGCCGCGCCCCAGCTCCACCTCTCCGGCGTAAGCGCCACCGCTGCCGGGGTAAACGCAGCGGTTGGCTGGTAAGGCTGAAGGCCTGTTTGGCGAGCACTTCCACGGCTTCTTGGACTGAGTATGGAGCGGTGCCTCGCCTCTTTATTTCTCGGCACCCGCTGGACCCTGTCGTTGGCCCGGATGAGGTGTTCCAGCCCCGTGGCCCCTGCTCTCCTCGTCCCCGCTGGTGCGGGGTGAATCTGCGCAACCTGCGACCTCTGTACGTGGCTCCCCGGACAGCTAACGCCGTGGACCCGCCGGCTCCTGCCAGGATTGGGCTGGTAAATGCTAGATCGCTAGCGAACAAAACGTTTATCCTGAAGGATTTCCTGACTTCCCGAGGATTGGATTTTCTCTGTGTGACTGAGACGTGGCTGACTGTTGGTGAGTCCAGTGCTTTCACACAACTTTTACCTGATAATTGCTGCTATTTTAACTCCCCGCGGACGTCGGGTCGAGGAGGAGGAATAGTGACTATTTATGAGTCACTATAAATGTAAGCAGCAAGGTAAGATGACAAGTGCCGTCTGAGTGCCGTAAATCATTTCATCCTGGAAGCGACCTGAGGCGGACCCGGAGACAGTTTCCTAAAGGTATGGATATACACTATATAGAAATAGCTTATCTTCACACCGATGGTCTCATTTGCTGTTGTAGGTCACACACAGACATCAGCAGAAGCGAGAGACTTTTGCATATCCAGTTAAAAGTTCCTTGTAGCGGCTTTAAGCTGGTGATGTCATTTGTAGCCAGTGGCAACCGCTGCGGTGTCGAGTTCCTGCCGAAACACCCATCCAACCCAATGACGAGCAGCGCCATCGATAGTGAGCTTGATCATACATGAGTGTGATAAGAACTACCTAAAATGACAGAAACCATCTTTGGGAAAAATTTATTTGAGGAGTACTTTGAGTCTGTAGTTTGACCCATGCCCTATCTGCTAGCGTGGAGTGGGTGGGGTTAATGACCTGTACTGCAGCCAGCCACCAGGGGGCGATCACGATGTTTTGGCTTCATTTTTGGGAAGCTGTCATGTTGTCCATCTTTCTTATACAGTATAAAGGTCAGAGAGCCAGAACATACAATCACAGATCTGAAGATCACAGTCAAGACACATCAGTGCAAAAGTGATAAGTGTAACTCAGAGTGTAGTGTAAGAATTAATCCCTAATCAAGTAAAAGTGATATACTACATAAACTGATCAAGAAAAAGTCATATAACCATGATATAACCATGTTTTATGCATAAGTTCTTATAACACTGAGTGAAATGCATCTATATGTGTTAAAACATTGTCATACATAACAAAGTATTCATAATATAAGTACACAATGTATCCATACTAAAAAGAACACACATAACCTATCACACATACACCCAAGTGTTTGTATTACCTGATGCACATTAAAAGATTATATCGCATAAAGGCACAAGGCACTTATAGAAATAGTCCCTGAGTTCCATATGTTTTTTAAAAATAGTGTAAACCTGAGTTCTAACCTAATGGTGGGAGAATCTGGGGATTCACAGGCCAATGGAAAAATGATACACCATTAAAACATGTCTGGGCATGTTCGGGCAAGTCTGGACAAAGGCAAAAAGGCCGACCACCAATAGGTTTGGACTCAGGTAGAAAGGGCTAAAGAAAAAAGGTGGAGATTCTCCTGAACCTCCACCAGCATAAAAGGAGCACCTCAGAAAGTGAAATTTTAGTCCTGCTCCGGAGCGTGACTCGATGAGTTGTATGTGTTGAAGCTTGTGAACACATTAAACTCGATTGCATTGGACTCTGCCTGTCTCCAGTGTTTCTTTGAGTATTACTTAGCTGAATCCAAAGTACTAGATTGACATCAAAGGGAAACAGAAAAGTCAAGTGGAGGACACGGTCGGGAGCCTACAGGCCCACTTCTGGGCACCGATTTTTGCCTCTACAAGAGCGAAGTGACCGAGGTGAAATGCAGGAAAAGAAAGGAGAGATGTAGTGTGGAAAAAAGAGGATGGCAAAAGAGAAAAATAGGGAAGAGGTGAATTTCCGAGCTGAAAGAAGATGAGAGCAAAAGTGTGCAGGAAAGAAGAGAAAAGGCGAAGGAGTCGAGGAGAAGACAAGACGAGACAAAGCTGTAGATGAGAGAGAGAAAATCCCAAAGGAGGGAAAGACAAAGGACATTTATGGTGAAGATTAAAAGGAGGAGAAGGGAAAAAGGGAAGGAGTGAATGCTAGAAAGATGTAAGCAAAGGTGGAAAGTGCAGAGGACGGAGAGGACAGGAACAGGAGAGAACAGGAGAAAATTGAGGTCAGAGAAGAGGAGCAAGACATGGAGAGGGGAGAGGAAGGAAATAATCAAAACAAGAAAGTTGAAAACACAACAGAGAGGGAGAAAAGAAGAGATGGAGGAGAGAGAAGACGAATATAGCCAGGAGAAGATTGAGGATGGAGAAGGAAAATGAGACTGATTATGGAGAGGATTTAACGAGGAGAACAAGAGAAGAGATGGAAGAAAAATGTGTAGGATGAAGGAAAAAGAGGAGAGAGGAAACAATTTGCCTCTTCCATTTCCTCCTCCTCTCTCTAAATTAAAGAAGATGAAGTACATACCTGTGAAATAGACGCTCAGTGATTCCGGCAGACCTGTTGGGGTTAAAAAAGAAAACTTTCAGAGCTGCGAGGTGATAAAAGTAAAAAACAGTGGATTCAGGCGGAGCTGACAGGGTGTTGCAGCGCACGTAAAAACTGAACGGATGCTGCTATAATGCATAAAAGTCAGAAGGCAGTGTGGATGATTTACTGATGCAAAGCTTTCCGCCAGAGCTCCACAAACCCAGATTAAGGGAAACTAAAGTCATCTTTGATGTTGGATTATGGGTTATCTTTCGGTGCATACGTCTCTTAAAAAACAGCTAAGATTTACTTTGAAAAATGTCTCACCCGCCCTCAAATCGCTTTTAAACAGTTAAACTCCACTCTTCCTGTTCAAATATTCATCATGTATACTTTGTCTGTCATTAACAGCTTAGTGATAGAACATGTGCTTCAGGATTGTACAACTAAGGGCAGAAAAAAACTAAAGAATTCTGCAAAATGGCTGGAAACTTTCACAATTTAAAGAGTGTTGGCTGATTGAACCCAGTTTCAGTTGACAAGATAATATGACTTGTACAAAATAATTTTCTGCACCAATTGTGTACTGAATCATCATCAAGATAAGAGCTCTCTAAGCTGAAATACTGGCACAACGTAAAAGCCTTGCTTGCTACTATCACAAAGAGGACTTGTGCAGAAATAGCAGGATTTTCATCCATCAGACATTACAAGGAGGTAATTTTCTGTTATGCTCCAGAGAAACCTGGCTGCCACACTGGTGCAGAGTAAATTTATCAGGGATGAAAGCTATAATGTCTGCTACAGTATTGGAACATTATGTAACAGCACTGTAACAAGTTCTTGGTAAATGTCCTTCGAAATATTGTACATTGAAGCAGCAAGGTTTAAATAGCATGAGGTTTAGTTTCTATGGATCAAGCTACAAATCAAGACTTCTATACTTTCTCTTAAACAAGCTTGTGCAAACCTACTGCTTCCAGCTTTGGAACATCACAAAACTCAAATCAATGCTATCAACTAGAGATCTAATTACTAATCCATACCCTAATTTTTTCACGCCAAGACTACTGCAGTGCCGTTTTCTGCTGTCTCAGCCAAGCAGCCCTCTCCAGCCTGTAACTTGTGCTGCAGCCAGGCTCTTTAAGACCCCCTCTGGTGAAAATTAACCTTTTAACCTTGTTAACATGTCCATATGTTTCTTTTTTTATATGCTACATGACAGCAAAATAAGCAGCCGATGCCATGGCTGAGCATTTCCCCCTTTGAACTCACGTGCAGCCTACTAATGAGAGTCTCAAGAGCATCTGTCACTAATGTAAACCAGAATTACCGCCTCCCAGTTTTACGCCTCCGTCCACCAGTGTTGTACAATAAAGAGACTCAAAACACAGGATTGGACATTTGAAGGTTCACTCGTGTGAAAGCGAAAGAATTCGTACATCATAACAATTTAAAGTGTCTGACAAACAAGCATCAAAAAAGGTGTTTCCTGTCACTTAGGCTGCTGTTTTCCTGTAATTCAGACAACCAGCTCCAAGAACTATTGCTTCTCCTCACATATTTGGCTAGAATCACACCAGATCATTTAGCTGAAGTCATGTCAAGATAATAGGTTAATGCCAGGTCACATACACTATCCCACTCAAGTTTCCCTCACAGTTTACACCCATGTCTGTGAAAACATGGATGCTTCACACACATCCCCCCAGTTTCAAGGTGGGCAACCAAGATTAGTGTCACCAATTGAAGGTGTTCTTGAGATATCGTGTTCATGAGAATGAGAAGGATTCAAGGTCACAGTAGTCTCGCCACCAGACAATCAGAGATCTCCGCCTTCTGATAGTCTGGGGACACTCCTTTCTAAAGTGTGTTTAACACACCGGCGAATACGGCTGGCAACAAAGCAACGCCTCTTGCATTTTTGAAAAGGACACGCCCTCCCGGAAATGTACACTCCCCCTTTCCTCGTCTGCAAGGAAACAAACACACAGAGAGCTTGAAAATGGATGCCGAGAGATTTAACTCCGTTTTATCAAACGTGTGCTCAGTCCACAAGATTGTGGAAATGAAGGACTTACAGCGACTTGAGCCATTTTGTACCGCTACACGTGTTTCTAGTCGGACTATGTTTACGAGCACAAGAGTTCAGCGAGCCACCAAAGGACCGCTCTGCAGATTTACTATTGGTTCTGCCACATAGGGAGTTTTTTTAAACTCTGAAATTGTATCCGCCCATCTAAACACAAAATCAGGGAGAAAGACATCAGTCTTTAGTTAAGCAAAGCGCCTAAAGACTGACTTGTGAGTCTAGGGTCACAGTGACTGTGACCTTTGACCACCAAAATCGAATTAGTTCATTGTTGAGTCCATGTGAACATTTGTGCCAAAATTGAATTTCCTCAAGGCGTTCATGAGATACGGACATGGCTATTGCCAGCGCTGAGTCATGAAGAATAAAAAAACAATCCTATCAGCTTGGTGGAGGTTATAGTTTTACATTTTGCAAGTTTCACTTGTACTTCAACTTGTCAGAGCTGGCGATCGGGAGCAAGGTTTATCTAACGTTAGAAAAACATTATTAGCTGTTTGATGACACAGTCAAGCCGAGGGCTCATATTATCTACAGGTAAGGCTATTTTGCATATTCATAGCTCTGCAAATACTAAATGAGGCAAAGATGTAGAATAGAGATAGTAAATTTGCTTCGTCCAGGGTCCACTTTTGCAAAATGACAGAAGGCCACGGGCAGGTTAACAAACACAACAGCTACGCTCCTCCAGGTGGTTGCTTTTTAATGAACCCTGGGTTTTAACACTTCTGGGGAAAACAGCATTTTCCTTTTATGCACCTTTAACATGGAACAATCTTCAAAAAGATCTAAAATGAGAAATACTTATATGAATCTATGAATTTAAGGGCATCACAAAGAATGTGTTGAACACTTGTTTTGTTGTGGATTTTTGTATTACATGTTGTATTTGTTGCATGTTAAATGTGTTCTGATTGGCTACTTCCTTGCCCAGGTCTCTACTGTAAAAGAGATTTCAATCTCCATGGGACTTTCTGGTTAAATAAAGGTTAAAGAAAAACATCAATAATATTTATCGGTATATATTATTGTTTGCCTGTTTTCAAACTTTGAATGTTTGCCATCCTATCTCATCTATGCCAAGAGGCAATTAAGTTGCAGCAGCCCTGCACAGGTCAGGTGTGCAAAGGGGCAGTCTATGATTTGAGAACATTTAAGGATTAGCCTGGAGTACTGTTGGGGGGGTCGGGGGAATCCTCCTTTGGCTTTTTATTTGATGGCCCAGGGCCCATAAGTTGAATATCCTGGTGAAGAGTTACAACTAAGCCATGTTATGGCATGGAGGGGTGTTTTTGGTGGAAAAACGTCTAAATATGTAATTTTAAAGAACAGAAAGATACATTTTTGGGGGTTTAATCAATGCCTGGAAAGGAACCGTAACTAAATCCAGCTGTAGATACCACATAACACCAGTCCTCACATCCTTTCATTGGCTCCTCACAAAGTGCACAATGCACTTCAAGATACTGCTTATCACATACAAGGCCCGACACGATCTTGCTCCTTCATACATCTCTGAACTCTTACATCCCATGCTACCACCTCAAGGCCACTGAGATCATCCAACCAAGGTTTCTCATTCATGCCCCACTCCCTCCACAAATCCAAAGGGTGATTGTGCTTTTGCCAGTAGGGCGCCATTCCTCTAGAGATACCCATTTCTATATTTCTATCAACTTGCCTTCCCGGTATAGGGGCTTAAATGTGTTTGTGTCCTCTGTAGGACCTCTACAGATGATGGCAAGTGCACTCAGGTTTAAATCTACCGCTCCCCTACCTCACTTGATAAGTAGCCACTCGTATGACTTCGGGAGCGATGAAAGGTGAACACGGCAAACGCAGGAGTCCCTCACAATCCTCTCTTGTAAATGTACAAATACACTTTGTTTTCAGAAAGCTCTTTATTTCTCCCTGCAGACACTCGGTGAACACCTTTCAAGCTCCAGCCTCTAGTTGTGTTACAGACACCTCTGGCTTATAACAGTCCAAGTCCAAAAGTGCTCAAATGTTTCTGGAGTAATCACTTCAGCAATTTTCTCAGGCTTGAATGTGAAGAGAGACGAATACTGAAATGATACAGAGGACACTGCACATCTGTCTCTGTAGGATGAGTAGCTCTCCCTGTGTCGACTAAATTGACTGAAAACAATTATGAGAATTGATCGCAGTGCTATGAATAGTAAATCACCTAAAAATAACACACTATGCTTAAAGTCAACTGGTTTTATGTGTTAAAACCAGAAACCTGATACAGTGTTATGAAGCCAGGGTTACTTATTTAGTCTCCACAGAGAGCGCCTGTGGTGGGCGACGGCAGACTGCTCAGCTCCAGATCAATACATGGCTGCTCGGCTGAAACAGTTCAAAAATAAATCTGGCCACTGCAGCCAGTTCAGATTAATTATATTTGATTTTCAGAACGTAAACATCCAGGGGCAATTTAATAAGACAAAACAAAAGAACAAACACTCATTAGTGCTTTTTTTGTTTCACTTAAACTTTTCATACCGACTCTGCGTAGGCTTTGGATGTTCTCATCATCAGTGGGGGACGAAGGACTCAGATCTTTAAGTAAAAGTAGTAACACTACAGTGTAGAAATACTATAATACTGCAAGTAAAGTCCTGAATTCAAAACTTAAATAAAAGTACAAAAGTATGAGAATCAAAATATAAATAAAGTTTCATTTCATCACATCCAGCATTGACGTCTTAATGGTACACCATCCAAAGTCCCGAATAATGATTGTATACTTGTATTAATCACATTTTCGTTGTAATCATAGTGAGGTTAGGATTTGTGAGTGTGTACATGTGTGTGTCTCACCAATGAAGGAGTACTGGTAGAGCTCCTGGAGGTGTGAAGGGGCTTGCGGTGGTCTGTAGATGAGCTTGCCATCGTTGACGTCGGCCTGAGTGAAATGTTTCACGTGTGTGTACGGTCTGTCCCGATGCTCGATCGTACCTGAAGAAAAGCAGCACAGGAATAGGTTCAAACAGTGGAGGGGTCCTGCACCTGCTCTATGCTGGAGTCATAAATTCAGCCAGTCTGGGGGGCACAAATAACTCATTTGCTCAGCGGACAGAGACAAAGAACCACAGTGTTTTTTTGGATTGATAACACTTCACTAACTGGTGAAAAAGGCAGTAGGTAGAAGAGGAAGAAGCTTTGGGAAGAAGAGCGTTCAGCTCAGAACAAATATCTCAAATCTAATTTCAGAAAATAAAACAGTCATGACAAACTGCCGCTGTTTAATCTGACACTGTCCTCCTCCTCATTGGCTCTGTTCAAAATGATTGCTACACAGATTTATCAGTCCATTAGTTGATGAATATGACCCATTGTAAATCGTTTTTCTCTTTCATTAGACGGAGAGCTAGAAATGATACAGCAGTCTGTCTGTCAGATGGTCCGACGCTGAAATTAATGGCTCCGGTTCTGAACGCCACATTAAATTCAGCAAAAAGGAAATCAACACTCGTTCTTGTAAAAGTCCAGACTCAGAGACATTAATTAGACAACTTTAGAGGGCGCTGATGCCACTGAAGACGGCTTAGGAACGGCAGGTTGTTAGTCTCTGGCTTGTATTTCTAGCCTGGGAAAACAAAACCCTTGAGCAAGGCATTAAAGCTAAAGTTGTCCCAGATTACTCAAATAAGACTTTGAAATCATCAGCTGTCTAACAGGTGTCTTTATAACAACTGTTTTCCACAATATGTATCAAATTTCACACCAGGAAGCTGCTAGAAAAACTTTTGGGCCATTGATCAGCTCCATTGCAGCAAACTATGGATCACAGTGCCTTGCTCATGGGCACTCAAGTGATAATTAATGAGGAACAGTAGAGCCTAACACATTAACGTCTCCCACTCTGCTTCAGCTCTGAAGCACAAGCTTTGAAGCTGACTCACCGTATCTAATTACAAGGCTCCTGCCCCCTGACAGAACTTAGATTTTAATCCTTTTAATCTTTTTCACATTATGAGGAAAAAGCACAGTGTGTGTGCAGTCTGTGTGTGTGTGTGTGTGTGTGTGTGTGTGTGTGTGTGCGTGTGCGTGTGTGTGTGGCTGACCTTGTCCTTGCGGTAGAGGTTTGGTGATATTGTAAACGAGCTTCTCGCTGGGAGTCTCAGAGTCAATGAAGGACAGAGCTGAAGGCGTTATCTCTGTCACCCGATCCTCCAGAGCCTGCACACACACACAAGCTGAGGTGAGAACAGAGGTAAAACAAGAGCTACTATATCCTCCAACTCTGACACGCCCCGTGTGATTAGAGCTGAGGGATCCAAATGCACAAATAAATAGAAAACGAACCACACAACCAGCAGTGTCTCTGCGTCTCACAGCAACTCCATAAGTTAGTACATTTTCCAGGAGATTTTTAGGTAATTTTGGAATACATACAAGCTATTTCTACTTCTTTTTTAATCAGTTGTAAATTAATGGAAACACTGAAACCATCTGAACCATCTAATCTAAAATACAGCAAACTAATGCCAGTCTGACTTCAGTGGGCCAGATGGAGCACATTAATGTTTCCAGGTTCAAGAACTAATTGTCACATTTTTTTAAATTAAGTTTTCAACAAGTAAAAACGTCAATTAAGTTTCTGCACACCATTAAATATTAAAAGTAGGTGTGTAGTAGGCTAGAAATCCAGAAGACATGATTTTCAGTGTTGGTAAAAATACAGAGGCACCTCTTTCTATGAAGGTGACAGATGCTGTATGTTGCATGGTGATGTGTTGTAGTGCACAACATGTGCCACCAGAGGTCAGTCTCTACTGGTGCAACAGGCAACTGAGCTGAGAAACACGGTGACTGGAAGTGGTTGGGATAACATCACAGGACCAGTAAAAGCATCTAGAGCCAGTGCATTTTTAAGGAGCTATATGTAAGAAATCTAAAGCAAATAGTTGTAAAATCCTCCTAATATGTCACAGAGACTAAGGAATAATGTTCATATAACATACTGATCTCACCGACAACAATAGTACAGCCAGAATATTCCCATTTAAAACATTTTTTTTTACGGTTTGCAAATCATGTTTATGTTTTGAATTTGTGTTTTGGCCTGTTGCGCCACCCACCACCGTCTACCAGTCACGCAGTCAGTAGAGTCTCAGCATCAGTTACAGTTACGACTGAGCTACAATGGCTGACGGTGCGACTAAACCCAAACGACCTCGTTATGATTCCCAAAAACACCAAGACAAAACTCGAGGCAAAGCGAGGCTCTATATAGGAGATGCTTTTGAACGGTGGAGACGGTTGAAAGCGGAGAAGAATTTGAAATCAGATGTCAAAGTGGCTACTCTTCTCCTCGACAGGTAAGCTTTAGCCAAAGTTGGCTAACTAGCATCATAGCTAGACGGGGATGGACATTTTGAATACTTTCAACTGTTATTCATTTTCGATCATACATTGTAGCCCATGTGCAGGTGGGTCATCGACCCGACTGATGTTTTTGAGAAACAAACGTTAGCAGCACGGCAAGCAGCATTAGCAGTGTCCCGGTACATAGCATTAGCAGCCGGCTCTTCCTCCGCTGTATCCCGGCAGCAGAGAAGCCGGACTTGCTTGAACGGTCCACTGGAAAACCGAAGGTCAAGGATGCGGCGACGCGGCCCTGCCATGGCAGCCGCCCGTGGGCAAACAAATCACCCCCAATTTCCACCAGATGCGTGCTGGTTGCGCCTGCGCTCCAGCCACGCAGCGGAGCCGATAGGATTCGATTCTAGTCAATGTGTGTGTTTCCACCGGCTGCGGAAGTGCTGCGTTCTGGCTCCGTCTCAGCTGCGGCACTCCTGGGGGGGGGGGGGGGGG